TCCCCACCAGTGACAGCAGTTGCTTCCTGTCCATGACGAAAGCCGATTATCAGAATCTTCAAGACCCTTTTTGAAATCAAGAAGACCTCTTCTATCTGATTCTTTGCAGTACATTAATTCAGCATGTACCAGACAAACAACTCCTTTTTCCAAACAGGTAAAAAGGAGCAGAATAGACCAAAGAACTGTAAATGTCTGCATTGGATTTACAGTTTCAAGTAAATTTTGTATTCTTTTGCCTTCTCTTACAATCTTTTTTGTTCTTTAATTTCCTTTTTCTTGCAGTTTTGTCTCTTTCTCACATATCAGACACTTTTCTTAAGTTCTTTATATAGAGGAGCACTAGTTGATTCATTTTGCTCCATGTCTGAATTCAGATAATAGTGGTTATGCCACTAACCAATATTCCTTCAGTAGTTGAGATATGTTTATACACTGCTTTTGATAAAGTTGATCATATCTGTACCTTTCAGTGGTTCTTTAACTAAGCTAGGTGACCATTAAAGCAATTTACTTCTAATTGGAACAAAATATTTGGCAGAACATCCTCTGCATATTTTTTTTATCAACTTGCATTGCATTGAAGTGTAAAACAATCCAAAGAACAGAAGAAAGGTTTCCCTTAATTTAAGCATTAAAATGTTATATTTTGTTGATATCAATCATGCAATCTACTAATTATTTCTTCAGTTATATACTAATTAGGATAGGTAGAATTAATCTTTTCCTTTTTGTTTCTTTTTTAGATGCATGACAAAACATACTATGTAGAGATGCAATGTAGAGATGCATATATATATAATAATATAATATTAATATATATATATAATATAATATATAATTCTATAATTCTCACTTATTTCATCAAATTTGTATTTAGTACAAGCTAAACTTCCAGTTGGAAGGCACAAATTGCCTACCCAAACATTTTACATATGTTTAATGGGGCTGTACCAAAAGAATGTATGTTAAATATTTTTTTTATCTTTTTTAAATATCAGGAGTGGAAGTGCTTTTGTTTGTAGCCACCAAATTGTCAATAGTTCTTTTTCTATATAAGTTATGGTACTAGCCTACTTGGTATCTCTTTTCCCATTTCTACCACCTTATAATTAATTCTATCACATTCTATTAATTAATGCTTACGAATGAATTGAAGTGCTTCCTGTCTTTTGGTTTTAAAAGAAAGGCTAATGAACTATAATGGCTATGCCACTAACCAAAAATTTGATTTGCTAAGGTAGTTAAGGTATGCTTTTACACTGCTTTTGCCAAAGTTGACCATCAAATTATTGTTTGTATGCATTTTGATAATCCAGTGTTGCTTTATGATGCAATACTGTAGAATGAGCAGAAAAAAAATTCCAGAAATCAAAAACTAAAATCTTTTATTGAACTTGTGTTGATGTTATAACATGTGGAATAATTACTTTTTATGAGCTAATGTAATTTGGCACCATTAATTCTTTTCTCAGAGTTTCTACATACAAACCGAGCGAAGATTGATGCTCAAGTCAGTCAGCTCAGCAAAGGGTTAACCCAGTTAGATCAGACCAGCCAAGAAATGTTGATCTTGATTTCTCAATGGCTGAATTTTTTCGGTTAACGATCTGTGCTGGACAGGACAACAGGTCATTTGAACAGCCTGTGCATTACTGCTACTAGTTGCATTATCTATGGAATACTCATTGCGTTTATCTGTCATCTTTTCCAACCATATCTTCAATGCAATCCTTCAGACCACCCACTTCTCTTCATCAACATCAGGAACTGCAACATCTTCTCTCATCAAACCAGCATAATCATCACCTACATGAACTCCAGACTGTGCAAAAAGTTCGACAACTGCAGGCAACATGCCATAGTATCTCTTCAAATTGTTTACTAGTGGTTCACCACTCTGCTTGTCTCGAACATGCCATACATACACTGGTGGAACTAAATCATCAACTGTTGCCTCTTGCCATGCATGTTGGCCGTCCCTCATTTGGTGCTTGTAAGCTTGGCAGTTCCTTACCCTATGACCCCTAGGCCCCACTTGGACCTCTGGACAGTATCCACAAGTATGGACTGCATACTTCTGCATAAGTTTTGTGGCTCCGGACTGCATTTTCTTCCATGCCTCCATGCCTTGAATAGCAATACCTACAAAGGTTCCAGAAAATAGGAATTCGTATTTCAAACAACTTTCAAATCCTAAAATAAACTTCGCAAGGATATACAAATCCTATTTCAAGAACTGATTGAAGAACAAAGGAAAAAAGAAAGAGGACCTTTTAAATCATTAGAATTGAGATCTGTAGATTCCTCATTTTCACCCAAATTCTTTCTTCTTTCCCAAAATCCACCAGTTGTTATGTCTTTCCCAGGTGCATCTTCTTCTTTGGGGAACCTACGCTCAAAGTCTATAATCTTGCCTGCAATGCTATAAGCAGGGAAGGTCCTTCTCCTTGTTGGATACTCTGGTATATCAACGCCCCCTTGTATGCACAGTTCCACAATTGCTGGAATTCGATCCACTAAGAGCTGCTCGTTATGAGAAACAGCTCTTCCTAGCCTATCATATAGATGAAAAGATTCAACAAGTGGAAAAACATTTTCCATGCCCCCAATTCTCCAACTATGTTCTTTGTTTGCCAGGCTACCGATCATGTTGCATGTCCTGATCTTATGCGGTGGACCACCAACATGAACTTCTCCACATACACTGCATACACAAGTTAACAACACACAAGATGAATTTTATGAATACACATTAAACCTTGTTTATTTATCACGCACACACACAAAAAAAAAAAAAAAAAAAAAAAAAAAAAAAAATTCAACAAGTGGGGAAATAAATATCTTTATATCTTTCTCAAATTCTACCAACAATGTTCTTTAGTAATTGCCAGGCTACCGATCCATAGTTTAAGCATGTCCTGAATCTTATTGCGGTGAGACCAACCCAACATATGATGAACTTACTCCACAATACACTGCATTACTACAAGGTTATAGACAGATGCACCGATATGGTATGATTATATTTTATAAGTCCAGATACACAGGTGTTGTGAGAATACCTTTAGTGTTTAGGTATTTTATCCGTACCACTTATCACAAACAGTCAATATGAGAGAATAGAAAATAGGAGATATGAGAATATAGAGGATAAGAAGAGAATAAGGAGAATGATTAAATATACGGTTGTGTCCTGTTTTTTATTTATTGTTTAGTGCAGTTAATGCATCTCTGCTCTCTAAGTTTCTGTAGTTTTCAATTGGTTATCAATATATAAGTAAGTTACTTCAACATCTTATTAATTTTTTATATCTAATTTATATAGTGATTCTAGAATTACAATTAATTCTACATCATATATGATATTATTTCGGTATTGTGAGTTCCAGCGTCTATGAAAAGGCGATTAATTAAAATCTCATATTGTCGGATTATTCATTTTTTGTCTTGATTTATTTTTTTACATAAGTCCGTGTATATTATACTCCAATAATTGCTTGAATAATATATTCGAATCTGTATAAGATTATATTACCATTTTAGCGAAAAGTGTATAAATGGGTTTTGCATATTAATAATTCAATTACCATTATATTAGTCATATATTTAAGTGGCACAGATATTACTATAATTTGACGATCTAAATGTTAATACTCCATAAATAATTAAAATGTACTGTGATAAGAATTCATAGAAAGTATATCAAGAATATACACATCGTTCATAGCAATTTTATGACATTCCTTAAGAGGTTTAATCTCGTGCGTCAACATATATAATATCTATAATATGGATACTTTTGAATTATCAGATTACTAATTTAACATGATTTGGATTATTCATAGATGAGTGGGAGAGCCATATCATTATATTTCTAGCGCTAGGCATTCTGGAGATAATAAGATATATCTAATGTCTTTCTTGTACATTCCCTTGAATATATACGGAGCAGAGAGAGTGAGTTTAATTTTTAGACTTTGAGTAGCTGAGGAGGCAGTATACTGCTGTATGGAGGTGTTATCTAGACTGTGGTGAAGATTTATAGATTTCTTGATCCACGATGCAGTGTGTTCTAGTGGGTCCCTTCTAGTATATGAATTCTGACTTCTTATCGTCTGCGAATCACCTTGTCTGGTCTTTTAGTTCGCTTTCTTCAACAATCTTAGGCTAAGTGATCGTCCTATCGAGAGGTATACTCTGATACGTTCTTTGTTTCGAGCCCATAATGCGTTGCCTTATTTTTCAGGTTAGGTATGCTAAGCTTATCCTGTGGAAGCTATCCGTTAAGATATATTAATAGTATTTGTATATCGCCAAGGTGAGAAGTTACAGCACGTATGTAGTTAATCTTTCATAAATTCTTACTATATGAAAATGAATCACAAACGATTGCTTCTATGGCACATTAACCCAGGCTCAAAGTTCACCAGTTTCAAGTTAAAGGACCAGGTTGTAGTTTGTGACGATATGAAATTTACGACGACGAGATCCCAAACAATTGAGCTTGTCATTGTATCAGGTTGAATTCTTGTTGAGGAATAATACGAATTGTGAACTTTTCTACGTAATGGAGTGTTACGCATGTTGGTCAGTATACAACACTGGCGTGTGGGTGTAGTATGCGAGAAGGGAGCAATAATAACTGATTAGTTCGGCATCAGTGTCTAGATGTTGGGTTATTGGGACAGGGGTTCTCTGATTTTTCTAACCTGTGAGATGGATAGGGAAAAAAAAAAAAAAAAAAAAAAAAAAAAAAGTGCGTATATGCTATGTGCAGAATGCACCCCCATTTCTGTAGTTTTCTGTTTCAATAATTTAACAATATTATTTTATCAAATGGTTCAGATTCAAATCTTAATGATCGTATTTGGTCACTTTAAAAGAGCATTAATACCCATATTTCTATATTTGTTTTTTATTTTTTAAGCCGTGGTATCCATATCTAAATTGATCTTAAGTAAACCAAATTTTCCAATTAGAAGGGGAAAATCATACCATATAGCAATTAATCAACAATGACGGATCAAATGACTCAAAAGATTAAACGATAGCAGAAAACAGAACCACTCGAAGAATGCATTCTAAAGCTCTCAATTTCAGGTACTTTGATGATGATATAAAAATTGAGCCTTTTACCTGCATGAGTATAAAGTAATGCTTTGAACAACCCTTGAAACACAAGAGATAAGTTTAGCTCTAGCAGCATAGACTTCATGAGCAACTGGAATTAATTCCTTGACCAACAATCCATTTTCAGGTGGCCTCAAAATCCTTTCACGCGCCAACTGCTTATCTTTCTTCAACAATCTAGCTTTCCGCTTGAGTTCATTAACGCTTGTCACCCATGGCTTCCTTTCAGATTTCTTAAGCTTTCTTGGAAGCTCCGTATAATTAGTTGATCCAGTAGAATACAAAGCACAGCTATACCTTAAATCACTATTACAAACTTCACAAAAATTCTGCATAACCAGCTCAAGCAAGTTCATGACGTTTCTAACACGACGACCCAACATTGCTGCTTACGAGAACTTGTTGACAAACTGTAATTCTAGAAGTTTAGCATTTCAACAAACGCTGGATTGCAAAGAACTAATAATGGCATCAGTAATTCGTTATGGCATTTCATCTAATAGATGGAGTGCAGTGCATGAAACGAGGCCAGATATCGAAACTGTACTGGGGGCATTTACAATTCTTCCTATGGAGAAAAAGAAAGCGAAGAAATTTTGTCAAAGGACGCGCCTTTACGGCTTTGATATATGGAGAGAAATTTAGTTTGATGCTATCAATACGAACTAGGAAGGAAGAAGAAAGGAGATACGTCTTACCGGCGGGTTGATGGCCATCCGGCCCAAACCCATATTGTAAATCTACGAATAATATAATAAAAAAATAAAAAAAAAAATAAAAAAAAACCCTCAAATGGACAATCGCGCAATCCGGTTTAAGATTAAATCGAATCGGCTCAAGTTAAACAATTCAAAAATTTTAAAGGAAATTGAAATGAACTGAAACAATTTATCGAATTAAATTAAACTAATTTAAGCCAATCCAGTGCAGTTTATTTATTTATTTTACTTAATTTTTAAAGATTTTAAAAAATAAATTGATTCAAATTTTTCTTTCTTTTTCTCAATAGAAACCAAAACTGAGGTTTTCTGTGTTGGAAAGTTCATCTTATGTTGATTAGTTAACAAAATAAAAAGAAAGAGTTGTGATAAGTGGATCCAAATCGAGCACGGACACAGTTTTTAAACCGTCAGTTTTTTTATTAAAAAGGTAAAATCGAAATCAAATTGATTTTAAACGGTTATCTAAAATGGTTTTAAAATTGCCGATTTTAATTTTATTCCACTTTTGAACTGAAATTAGATAATTTATTTAAATGTTTTAAAATTCTTTTTTTAGATTTATAGCTTCAATAAATAATAATAATGAATATTAGTATTAAAAAAACTAAACTAATTTAATAAAAAATTTTAAAATTCTTTTAAAAAATTATAATAAAAAAAACAAATTCTCTCTAAGGTTGAGATGGATGACAATGATCTCTTCTTTCTTAACTAAAGGTTTTGAATTTGAGCCCGAGTATGGAGTCCTTTTAAACACTCAGAATGGAGCGCTTTCCTCTCTTTGCGGGTCCACTTGACATGAATCCGGATTAATCAAATAAGTGGACTTTAGACCAACAAGTAAGAAGTTTCTTTTAAAAATATATTTTTGAATCTGACCAACAAATAAGAAGTTTTTTTTTAAAAATATGTTTTTTATAGTTTGGAATCGGAATATAGCATGCACTGAGCTATGGGCCCTAGGAGCAAATTAATCAAATCAAATTCAATTATATATTTATTGAGCTTATAATTAGTTGATTTACCTTTAACACAAAATGACCTAAATCATTTTAGTTGATTCACCCTTTACATTATATGTCTTTTTAGTTAATTGTATTTATCTGATGCGGAATTACCTACGTACTCCAACAAAGAGAGAGTCAGAGAGATAAAAGAGATTCAGGTGTGGTTGGTATTGATTTTGGGCTATTGAAACGGTGCATCGCAATAAATATTGGCTGTTGAGTTAAGTTAACCAAAGGGTTATTTGGATCTCGCCGCTTATAATTTTATGTTGAGAAAATTAACTCTTATTTATCATTTAGGATGCAATTATCACCATAGTTTATTATTAGAGTGGCCGTGGAACAAAGATGATTTTACGGTAAAATTGTAACATTCTATAAAGTTGACGGTGAAAGTGTACATTACGTCACATGTAGTCTACAGAGTTATTTTAATCATTGAACTTTTCAATAACATTTATTGGCCGAACAATTACTATAAAATTAGATTTAGAATAGAGAAATTGTAGATAATATAATAATTTTTTTTTTAGTTGCAGATAATATAAATATTTTTTATTACATGTAAAGAAAAACTATATATAGTTATAAAAATTGATATAAAAAAAACACAGAGTTACGAAATTCTTGATAAATAAATTTGTAGCTAGCTGGTATTCAATACTTGACTTCTCTGCTTTATTGAAAGCAGCACAAAACATTTCATGTGCCATTACCGTCTAAAACAAAACAAATAATAATATTAAAAATAGTAATCCCATCTTCAGGATACTATCGTTTCAAAATTTGATATTATGAAATGAACACATCTCTGAAACCAACTACAAGAAAAAGAAAACTACTAACATTAACCCAAGCTTGGAGGAAGCGCTCCAGGCGACGGCGGCGGAAATATGACCACCACCAACCCCACGTATACGACCATTGCTATATCTACTTCCTCGGCCACCACCTCTACCACCGCCGCCACCTCTACCACCACCACCTCTGCCTGTTCGAGCTTCTGCTGATGTTAGCATCAAAGCAATGACTAAAACGAGAAGAATTATCAATGCCACGCCTGATGCTGAGACTTTGTTCGTCTTCATCGCTGAAAATCAAGAACCTAAACTGTTAATCCAAGAAAGCTTACTTAGTTTATATTTTATATAGCTTAATTGAAAATCAATTAAAGGTTGGTTCAGTATACTCAAATTTATATATATATATATGTAAAAATTTATATTTATTGAAATATAATTCTGATTAAAAATTAAATTCTGATCAATAAGATGGAAAATACAAGATATAATTCAGAACATCAAGAGAAATACACAACTATTTTCAATGAAGTTTATGATTAAAATTAAAAAAAGAAAAAGAAAAAGGAATAATTAATTCAAGAATCACAAGGGAAATACAAACTAATTTCTAAAGAGTATGACATGAAAAATTCAAGTCACCTGTTCACTCTGAATGATGGTACGATTTTATTAGGGTGTGATTATATCTCGGCGCAACTGGTTTCACTGCATGTGATTGAAAGGCAATAGAGAAAATCAGTTAATTCGATCAGTTGTTTTTCTGTCTGGCTCTCTGGAGTGAGATGATAATTCTCCAGATATTATTTTGGATGATGCAATGAATATATAATCTCATTCAAAAAAGAAATGGATTTGCATATTCGAGAGGGTAAATTTTATTTGTTGAATGGGAAATTTAGAATGCTATTCAAATACAAAATTGTTTGAACAAAAAGAGTTTAAAAAAAACATTTATCTGCAACAAATTAACGGATACTATCTACAACAGTGGATTGAAATCAAGTACTGGAATCCATCATTAAAGCGATTGGGTATGATCCAAATTAAGCTTATTAGATTGGTTCTGCTTCATTTAGTCATTTGGACCCAACCAAACCACTATTGAGCCTTCAAAAGACTCCTTCCAAAATTAGGTACAACTAGTGCCGCATTAATTACACCTACTTAGGTTATGCTCGGCAACGGTTCTTTGATAGTATTTTATAAAAGCACCGTTCGAACGGCTACCAAACTACTTAAATAACAGCTACTCAAACAAAAATAATAAAATAGCTAAATCTTGCGCCTTTAAGTATTTGATAAAATTTACTTAAAAATTAATCCTTGAAAAATTTTTATAATTATTATGAGAATTGCATCTGCTGAATTTTGGATGCAGTTTTAAAAAAAAAAAAAAAAAAAAACTGAGAACTCAATGAGATTTAAAGGTCAGGAGTTGCCTATGACATTAGAGAAAGAAAATGCAAGTCCCACACTGGTTCCAGGCTCGTGATATTTTGATGAGTACGTATTTTATTTTATAATGGATTTTACAATCTTGGAATTATTATTCATCTTGCGGCGCCAGTCTGGATTTCATCGTGGGTGCCTTTAGTTTGTTGATTGCGAAGAGGGCACTAATATTAGTGTGAGAAAGAATTATTGCAGAATAAAGTGTTTGCTGGAATCTGGTTGAATCAAGTTTTGCGTTTTATGCGTGCCGTACTATGTGGCTTCAAGTTTCTTGGCTGTTGGAGAGAATCTTATAGTAGTCATTACAACGATTGGATTTTATAGTTACTATTGGTCGGTATGTATTAGAGTCTGTTTGTGCAATTGATTTTAGGGATCGAATGTTTATTATTATATTTCTCAATTCAAAGAAGAATACTGTGTTAAGAATTTTTGTGAAGCTGGTCTATGAGTTCGTGGAATGTTACGAGGGTCAGGGAGACTACTTTCAGGAGTATAGATAGAAATTATTTATTTGGTGATTAATGAGGGGATAATTTAGGAATGCTATTCATATCCCTGATACAAAATTGCTAATTATGAACAATAATGACTTTTTTCCTTTTTTTTTCTCTCTTAGGGTTTTTATATAAGAAAAATCATATTAATCATGAGCTGATGGACAGAGTCATTGAGAATTATCCTACGTGTTGAATTAAGTGATATATCTTACGTCTGTAGTACGAGGTAGTGACTTGTGGATATTTATAATCGGAAGTACTGGAAATCTGCATTCTATGAAGTAATAGTGATAGAAGCTATGTGTGCGTGTATGAGTTTGTATCCATGGAAATGAGTATGAGAGCAATTTAATACCTTAGAAGTATCTTGTGGTTTGCTCCTTTTATACATTTGAGCGTCAGTTGGAGAGCAACTTCAACATACAACGACTTAGACCACTATTTGATGCCTTTCATTAAAGACTCCTTACCCATGAATAATGAGTTAAGGATAACCAGGAACTAGAGAATAGGTGAGCACAATATATTGGAAGAATGTTACACGCAACTATTAGATTGTGATACATGTCTGGTCGAGAGCTTTCAAGTACCTGGAGGCACATTACTGGTTCCTTTTAGTGGATTACGTATTTATTATTTTAGGAATATGAGACGCATGTCACGTGGGCTCGATACGGTGCTTATCCTCTAGAACTTATGCTTTAGAGCATAAAAACAGCTACTTTCATCAACATAATATATGTCTTAATACCTATTCCAATTTAGGACTTAGACCTATCTTGCGTCGCTTTATTCCTATAGTTAGGGTATAAGGAATTTTGTTTGTTATTGTGAGAAAGTGTTACTTAAGAGATGTAATCCTCTATGATATTTCAGATATTCATGCTTTTATCTATTGATTAATTTTATTGCTGAGCAATTTGAGACATTAGCTTTTACATTTTTTTGTGTCCCTGATGTGCGAGTATTGCTTTTTATAATAGTACAATTTAGAAAATCAAATAAAATTAGAATGATAAGGAAAGAGGTGTATAATTACTATCTATACTCTGCGTTTTTGTTTGGTTATAACATATTAGACCATTTTAAATAAAGTAGCAGAGGAGGTGTGTAAGTAAAGGAATAAGTGAGGAGATAATGATAAGGTTAATGTCTAATTACCTCCTATTACATCTCCTCATAAAAAGCATCCAATGATTGATAAGAATTTGAACTACATTATGATTTGCTTAGTATTTCGAATGGAATAATTTTGAGTTATATTAACCCTGTTGACCAAAGCTCACTTTTCTGTCAATTCCGTCGGCTCTTTGCTAAATTCTTATTAGTGAGCTATTTGATTAGGAATCGGTTGATCGAGACATGGAATAGACTAGGTACAAATGACGTGTTTACCTAATATCTCCTCACGTGTGTCTCCAATGTAACGACACTCATCCTATAATTCTCCGTCTTCTCGTGGTCCCCTTCTTACTGCACTCTTATAATTTCTCGTATAATCAAATCATCCTACACTTTACTGTCTATTCTCTCTTGTCAGGTAACCTGATACTCTGTTATCTTACACCTACTTTCCTCCTTCTTCAACTTGCCAACCTTTTTTATATTTAGGACCCTAATATGTAGGATAATTAACTTCTAATGTGTATCGCTCGTTTTAAATTGGCTCACTCTCGTAGATGCCATCTGAATTATACTATTAAATGTTGAATTAATGGTTCTTGGTGACCCTATCGTTTTCAGAGAATAGTAAATAAATTGTGCTTGTAAGGTAATTTATATTCAGCCATCATCTACAAGTTATCATACTTATGTATGATATTAACAACTGAGGAGTGAGATCAATTTTTTTTGGTGGAGAGAAATCACTATTAATGAATGAGTATTTTATAGTTAGGTGGTTCGTATAAATTTGAGGAGTGTATGAGGTCATTCATACTTCCTGGAATAATGTAGTGCTCGGAATAATATTAATTGTATGTAGTTGGGCCACACGAACTTGTGACGTCTCTGCAGAAGCTGAATTTACTATTATTTGTGTAATTGACTTAACGTGATGTGAATTTTGAAAGATTGTTGATGAAATATATAGTTCTTTAATGTGAGGATGATTCTTTTTAAATGAGCAAGTTTAATTTATTTGGTTCTCTTCACTATCTTAGTAATTGTACATATCTTAAGAGAAGTAGGCCTAACTTGAATTGAAGCATAGGCTCTTGCGATCTAATTTAAGTAGGGTGGTAAGATACACAGAAGGAGTCCTTGAGACGGAGGTGCCTTATTTCATTCCTAGTCAAGAGTATTTAAGTGTACAGCGTGTGGAGCAATATCACGATATGGGATGGCGGTTTAATATGGTCTACAAGTCTCATAATAGAATAATCCTATAGATAATATTATTATATTTCGAGTGAATAAAGAAGCGAGTTTTTTATTAGTTATATATTATATGCAGATTTTTGTGCGTTCTCATGACTTGCTCTGAGATGAAATTGGAATTCTATGGGTATCCTAGTTTGTGGATATGGAATTTTTACGCTATATCTTGAAGAATGTGTTATGAGAAACGACATAGTAATAGTGGATTTTATTGTTGGCAGATTATGATGACTTATATACGAGACTCTTTTGGTAATTCCTGTATATATATGATTCAAAGTGAATTTATCTTGGTGGTCAATGGTTGAGTCTGGGTCGAATGTCTGGGGGATCAAAATTCGAAGCAATACGTTCGCTGTCCTGTCATCTGAGAATTAAGAGTCTCTTGAGCAGAGAAATTAATGGATATTATATTTTGCTTTCTTTGTCTTTATCTATTTTTTCAATAGGTTATTTTTCTAATTTTTTTTTTTTTTTTTTTTTTTTTTTTTGGTTATCAAAATGCGCTTTACTGATCAGTTGTCAAATAGTTCTTCGAATTTAACTATAACTTTTATCAGTAGGGGCATGGAAGTTACTTAATTTTAATATCATGAACTCTATTAACATACTTAAAGGATGCTATTGTAAATGGATGGAGAAATCATTGGTTATAACTCATAACAAACTGGACAATGGTAATTATATCAAGCTGAGGTGGATTTCAAAATGCTTTGTCGTTTTAAATTAAGCTCCTTTACAGATTGCACATTGCTTGATTTGCCGTGATTATTACACATGCCCTCTCCTGCGCCAAATGTCTGTGGTAAAAGGTAACAATCTGCAGACTATATCCAGTCCTGAATCAGTTTCGCATAGGGATGCATACCCACTGAAACAAGCCAGTTTAAGTCCCTGTGTAACCCTTAAGAAAACATAACAACATTTAACCAGGGGAAGCTTTTCCATTCTTTGGAACATTCTATTGCAGCTGTGCTTTATGTAGGGGGAGATGCTCTGTTGCGGCCCTCATTTCCATTTTCAAGCTGCTATTAATACTGAACTAGGCCAATTTTGTATGTCAAGGGTTCCATCAAGATGAGAAATGTTATTTACTGCTTATCTACTTTTTTTCATTTAGCATGAAGTTTTTTATGTTAAAAGAAAAAAAATATTTTGCTATACTGTTCTGGAAAATGGGGTCTTATAATTAGTGGTCTGGCTTTTACAGAGGCTAGAGTGGTTTGATGTTGGGAGTTATTTGATCAACATATTCGTCCAGATAAACCCAGTAGATATTGAGTCTTAGAAGATGCTTAGGATTGTCAAGAGACACATATCAAACTTACGGGAAATTGAAAATGCAACCTAAACAGCATATTTCCTGTCCTTCCATTGCGTTCCTTTGTTTGTTTATTGAATGTGTAATTGAACTAGGTTTACAGCTGTCTTATGTCATGGTATTTTTGTTCAAACTCTTTTCCACCTTTCTCATATTATTGACTACAAGTGAACTACAATTTCTCTACCTTTTCATTTTTTGTGCATTTCTTGTTTCTGAATGCATTTTATTGGAATATCTCGGTTCCTTTCTATTAGGTCCAGTGCTAATTTGTACCGCTTTATCATTTTCTGTCTTAAAATTTTGCAAAAATAACCTCATTTTCTCATAACTGATCAAATAAGGTGGCAGCCAAAACAGTCTACGGTTGACAATGATGGACTGAAGGGAACATATCATGTGGATGTTGACATGCCTGCAGATTCTTGGTCCACAACCATTCACTTCTACGATGTTCTTATATTTAATACTGGGCATTGGTAATTTCCTCTCTGTTCTGTAAATCTAGGTTGACATAGAATGAACCGAGTTTTTCATCTTTTAATGCTTGGCATTTCATCTGCATTGATCCAGATTCAAATAAAATAAAAGGTTTGACTTATGACCTGGTCTATAACAGTTGGAGAAGCTAGAAATGTCTGTAAAGTCCCACACTTGGAGACTTAAAGTTTGATTCCAGCAAAATTGTTCATCTCCTCTGTATTTCCTACTTATAAAATTTACCAGACAAGTTTTTACTTTACTTTACTTATAAGAAAGTATTAAAAAATATAGCTTCATTTCATGTGGCGTCTACTTCTGATGCATTAACCTAAATGCTCATTCATAAGATGGGGAGTTAGTTCTGCGTATTGGTCACCTGTTATTGTTTATTTAAATGTGAGCTATATAAAAGAAGGGAAAATATCAGAGGACACACTTGTGAAGCTAATATTGTGACTGGCAAGAACACAAGGTGGCCTGCATGCGAAATGATTTGCAATATGAAGATGCAAAGAAAGACTAAATGGGGATGCAAGGAAAGAAAAATACAAGGAGGCAAGTAGAGACATACTAATTGATAATTGAGGGAAGTCAGTATCAAATAAAAGAGGAATGTTTGTAAAGAAAAAAAAAAATCTGAAATGCTCAACCAAGAGTAAGCTAAGAATGAAAATTAATTTCATTTTGCTTCATCCTTAGCGCATAACTGGAAGATGCACTATTCATGTTCTTTTCTGCCTGTTGTGCGTTTCAACTGTCTGAATGAGTCTTTAAATTGTATTATTTTGTCTTGACTAGGTGGGGTTACGACAAATTCCCACAAGAGACCCCTCTTGTTTTTTATCATGCTGGCCAGCCAATACTTCCTCCTCTTGGGTTGTTTGATGGACTTAGAGTTGTTCTTGAGAATATGGTCTCATACATAGACAGAGAAATTCCTAGCAAGACACTCAAGTTTTGGCGGCTGCAATCACCACGGCATTTTTATGGTGGTGAATGGAATCAAAATGGAAGTTGCTTGTTCAAAGAGCCCCTCAAGGAATATGAGGTATGCAAAAGTTGATAATAGTAATCTACTCTTAAGTGCTTCCTTAGCAATTGGCGTTTATAGTGACAACCCAGTTTTGCATTCTAGTCCATGTTAGAGTTGATCCTTTTACTAAAATTTGTAGTAAGTAGTCGTGCTATTGTTTTTTTTTTTTAATATATTTCTGAATTTGAGAGATTATGTATATATTGAGCTGGACAGCTTGATTCATGGTTTGATCCCAGCAACAATGGAGTGAATAAAGAAGCAAGAAAAATTAATCATGCAATTAAAGAGACATTGCAAGGCACAGATATCCAATTGCTTGATCTAACTCATTTGAGCGAGTTCAGAGCAGATGCCCACCCTGCAATTTGGTTAGGGAAGAAGGACGCGGTGGCAGTCTGGGGTCAGGATTGCATGCATTGGTGCCTACCTGGTGTCCCAGATACATGGGTTGATATCTTGTCAAAGCTTATCCTTAATGGTGTGAGGACAAGGCAATAAAAAGAGAAGAGAAAGTTGTGGAGTTATATTGGGATTTCGTTTCCAGATATCTGTACATTAGATGGGAAGATGCTATGCAGTTCAAGGGCAAAGTTCTAGAATTTGGTTACCAGAATCCAAGCATCTTTCTGGAGGTATTAATTCCAGTAGATTCAGATGGAAAAAGCTTCCTGTTGTATTCTTTTCCACATTATTGTTTCGTTTGAAGGGAAATAAGCTGGCTCCTAATTATAAACAGATAAGTGATAAGTTAGACAGAAACAAGAAACAAAGGAAAATTGACAGGAAAACTAGGAAAAGGTTATTTAACTGTATTTTCTTCCAGTTGATCCTATAGGTTTCAAATTTCCATCATTTCATTCTTTTATATATTGAACATCTTTAATCAAATAGGAAGTATTCTTCTCATGCTTAATATTCAAGTTCCTGTTAAAAGTTGTAATTTCCTTGTTCTGCTATTGTTACCGTGTCAGTTGCCTCCAAACTCCATTTCTGAATGCAATCATGTTTGTCTTTCTCAACTGAGAAGGTTTTATGCCATGAAGCAAATGTACAGCGGAAATGTTTTTTTGTTCTTTGAGAGATTTCATTCGCCAACTTCAAATGAAACCATTTTTTGCATTGATAAATGTGATGAAAATCTCTATTAACAAGATAATAGCAAATGAATTTTGGCTGCAATTCTGAGTCAATGGAAGCCAACATCTAAGATTACTTCAGGATTCAAATTGGTAAAACCTTATGAAAATATCAAGATATGTCCCTTTCTCTCTCTTGGGTAGGACCTTTCGGTTCCGTGTCTCACTGGCTCGGAGTTGGGTTGATTCAGAACCACCAATTTTGATCCGATACAAATATCAAACTTTTCGTACCAATTCTGATTCCAATCCGATCATAGACAACCCTGTTCATGTGGGAGATCTCATAGATCATAGTATAATCAAACTAAGGCTTCCTTTGGTTTAAATTGACTTGCTTTAAGAAAATTCATTTTTCAAAAAGTACAATTCTGGGAGAGTAAAATATATTATGATTGTGTTTGGTTGATTCTTTGAATTCTTGGAAAATAAAATTTTGTGATATTAGAATACATATATATATGGGTGTAAAAGTATAGTAACTGAACAATTTGGTTGAAAAAATTATAATAATTTTTAATTAATTATATAATCCATTCACCAGGTCATATGGCATGGACCAAGAAGCTTTTGGACAATGAACAATGGACCTCATTTGCTTAGATTCATCCCACGTGTGAACTCAACCGTCACGTGTGCATGACAATAACTCCCGCAATTCAGTTTACAAGAATGAAATCTAGGATTGTACCCTACCTCTGTCTTCAATCCAAATGGTCGCTATCCCACTCCCACGTGCCAACAATAGACGCCATTTTTGTGAATTATCTAAACCATAAGGGTAATTTGTAATCCAAAATTTCCCCTCTTCACTGTTTAGCCGTCTTCTCAAATCGTCCTTTCCCAATTCAGTCTAAACCCTAAAGCTTCAATCTTTCCAAAATTCCAGACTTACCATGGCCTTAAGAATCCAATTCTTATTCCCAAATACGCTCTCTGAACCCCTAAAATCCCAAACTCATCCCTTCTCGTTTCCAACAGCAACCCATTTCACCAAAAGAATCAAAACCCAAATCCCATGCGCCAAAAGAAGAATCAGCGATGCTGATCTTGCATCAGATTTGGCTACAGAAGTGGCAAGGATAAATGCCGATTTAGCTCAAAGAGAAGAGGCTATGAAAAAGAGCAAGGAGTTACTCTTTATTGAGCTCTGCCACTATCTGGCTATTGAAAAAGAGGAAGTGAAGAGGAAGTGGAGCAAAATAGATCAACAGGAGAAATGGGTTTTGCTTGAAGGGTTTGTTAATGAATGGGGAGTCAATTTTCACCCTTTGTCCATTAGGTCTATTAGAGAAATGATTGATGAGTACTTGAATGAAGAAAAGACTGCTGCTTCAAATTCTTCTGATTTATTTCCTGGTTTGAAGAGGATGATGGGGTTTTCTTAAAATAAGTGAATTTGCTTTGTTTTTTTTGAGATTAAATGAAATGAAGTTGTAATGTAGTAGAGAGACAAATAGAAAATTTAATTGGTGTGTACTAATTCTTTTTTTGTTATCAATTTGATTGTTTTTTAAGTTTTAGATTGAATTTGGTATATCTTATAGATATAGAACTATAGATCAATAAATAAATTTCTCTGACCACGAGATTGGTCGGTGAAAGTCCAGGCTTTTGTAGATTTTTCCTGCAATTTTGCACCTTTTTTTTTTTTTTTTTTTTGGTTCCGGTGAAAGTGCCAGGCTTTTATGTAGATTTTTCGCTGCAATTTTGCACCTTTTTTTTTTTTTTTTTTTTTTTGGACACAGAAAATAATCAATCTTCATTCCATAGGAAAATTCCATAGAAAGTAAGGTACACAAGGAACCTGATCAATTTAAAAATTATAAGATCCAGAAATAGATGAAAACATTAAGAAAAACCTCAAAACTCATACAATAACAGCAATGAAAAGGAAAAAAAGCATTGGGACATATCATATTTAACCAAAACCACCATACATTTGTGTATTTATATAATATATATATATATTATAATATTATTATTATATATAGTATATAATATATTAAAAATACATTTGGTTTTTGTCTTTTACTAATCCTCTCAGAAGAGAAATTTCATTGGCTTTGCGAGTTAACTTGTTCTTGTTTGTCTTTCAATATAATAACTAATTTATATATATTAAAATACATTTGTTTGTCTTTACTAATCTCTCAGAAGAGAAAATTTCATTGCTTCGAGTTAACTTGTTCTTGTTTGTCTTTCAATAATAACTAATTTAGTACTGATGTCAAACATGCCCACAGTTTCTAATTTTTAGGCTTCCCCTTGTGTTGTGTTTTTTGTCTTTCCTTTCATGATTTCTTTAGCGGACTAGTAGAATGTCACACAAAAGAAAAGAAAACACTAAGTGATATACATAAATATGTAATGTTAACATTAAGCTTTTTAACTTTTCTTCCGACGGCTATCAAAATAATTAATTTTGCCAAATTCTCTACACAACAAGCTGGAGATAGAGAGAGAGAATTAAATGTTTGGTTAGAGAGAAACATACTTCCCATTGTTTTTTTTCTTAGTGTTTTACCTTATTTGATACAAGATCAGGGAAGAAATGAAATTTATGGCTGGTTTTACCTGTAAGTTATAAATGGCTTATTTGATTTTCACTACAATTATATCCATTTTATTTTATGTGTTAACATGCCTATATTAGTATTGATGCCAACTGAATAATCACAATCAAAGAGACATTCAAAAAGAATGTCTATTTACAGTACTCCATAAAAGCAACTAAATCAATATCCACTACCCACCCATTTCCCCAAACAATTCCTACCAAGTATCAGAAATATAGCTGCCGGCACTGAGCAACAGGAGACTCAGCTGGACAATAGGGACACTTAAACATCCGTGAGTTGCCTTTCGACATCTTGGCAATCGATTGCTTGCAAAGAACGTGTAGACATGGCATCAGCATCGGTGGATTATCATCACTGCCTTGCTCCCTACTCACTGGACAAACAAATATTGAATGAAACTGAAATTCTTTATCCAATTCCACTGGAATTGGTAGTTGTTTCATTGCTAGCCACTCTTGCTTCTTTGCAGCCATCACATTTGCCAGCTTCAAGAGAGTAGGCAACCCTTCAATACCAGCAGCTATCGTAAAGCTCAATGGGCTACCATAAGACTTTCCTAAGAGATTGCAGAAACTGCGAGTCATATCCTCGGACAACAACTCCCAATGAGTTGGAGAAAACAAGTCAGAGTAAGGATACTTTTCAAGTTTCCCCATCCAACAAATGGAAACTACTAGCTTTTGAACCTCTTGCATATGAAGTGAAGCAAAAGGAGAGAGGAAATTTTTGGCATAATTAAGGGCATCAGTTTTACTTCCTTTCTTCAAAATCTCCACAAACTGCAGGCGGTGAATTTTCAGTTCCAGATTTGAACCATTCTGCTTGAGCTTTTCATGATTGGTAGAAGCCCATTTAAGAGCAGGCTCCAGATTTTTAACCTTAATAGCATCAAGTATTTGATGCAACTCCACAAATTGAGATCTTAAAGCTGTTGCTTCTGACACTCCAGCCTCATTTATTAGACAATCTCCAAGATCAAAGAGGCCTAGCCGGTAAAAATGGCTTGCTATTATCTGATTCACTATGTGGAAGTCAAAGTCAACATTTATGTATGCCTTGGATATGTCAGGATTAAAAGTTTTCTCAAGGATTTTTGGATACTTGCTCAAGGCAATGTGCAATTCCTTATGCAACCCTTCTAATTGGTTCAGCGGACTAATTGCATTAAGCTTATGCTTTAACTCTGTCAGGATGGATTTTTGATCAGCAGGAGACACGGGGCCTTCAACTGATTTGATGTTTGCCAATTTTTGTTCAATTTCATGACTCACCTGATCAATTACTTGTTGGCACTTAGATGATGACAATTTTTGTTTCTTGGCAACATGCTCGAATGTATCTTTTACAGTACTCAGCTGTCGCTCAAATGCATCTTTTGCAGTTTGCTCCATTCCTGCAAAAAAACAGAAGGCTCTCAAATATAAATGAAGAGCACATAACCAGTGAAAAATTCTAAAATCACAGCTGCCGATGAATGACAGGAAATAGATGTAATTATCAATAAATTATAAAGAACCATGTAGATAAACAATGGTCCTTGAATGTTGTAGCCACAAAATCTAAAGGGATGATATCCTCCGATTGAAACATTGTTTACTAATTATTTCTTAAATACTAATGTTTTAAACTCAAGCTGAGAGATGCTCTGCAGCAGAGAGAACAATGGATTGGGGGGAAGGGAAATATATTACAAGAACATGGTATGAAGTGGTAAATATGTTTATCACAATGCAGAAAGAGTTGGAATGCAAACAGAACAAAATTGGGAAATGCTATTCATAAAAACAACCTCAACTAGTTTGGGCTTGAGATTTTTTAAAATGCTTTGAGTTGGCTTGATCAAGCCTTTTCAAGACCACAATGATGAGTCTGATCTTTTAAATGATAGGCTAAAGATGGTAGAAAGTTCTGAATGCCACATCAACAGATAAAGCATATGAGATCGAGTTTGACCAAACAATCTATGTACTCATCTATTATCTTCAAAAAACAGAATTCTTTCTCAAGCATTACAGTCAATTGTTAAAGCACTCGTATCTATTCTTGCTTAGCATAGAAACTATAGATGCTTAATAACCTTCAAATCAAGTTATGCCATTGCAGTCCTATCATCTCAAGCATCAACAATATATAAAAGTAGCAGAAATGCAAAAACACAGGACATACCCTATTTAGACATGTTGCTGCTTAATTACTTCGACAATCCATTTTACTTTAAATTAATTGTCCCCCATAAGGATAATCACACGTGACCCTAGGCATGAAACTTCAAATATTAAAAAAAATTTGGAATATAGGTGAATCCAACCATTGGACATGTATCCAACTACCCATATTTCATGCCCAAGTCCAACCAACATAGCATTTTCGGCAGAAACAATGATTTTCTCTATCTGTAACAGGCTTCTTTTTATCGACTAACACATTATCATCAGCTCTTATAATCATAGAATCCAAGTTCAATAACCAAAATGTAAGGACTCAATGAGAAAATATGTTTTCTTGACTCCAGAAAATGGTGTTGTTCTACTAACTGCTTTCCGCAATGAAAAGGACAAGTATGTCATTAGCCGGAAATTTGCAGGACAAACTAAATTATCTCATTTACAAGTAAGCAAATCCAAAGCTACTTAATATTTAGCTATACATCAAATCCTACCACGTGACGTCTATAGAGTCACACACAAAATATCCTTGTAACACTCTAAATACCTATAAAGATAAACGCAATTACAGCAAAAGAAAACTACCCATTACTTTAAACACAACTGGGCATGCACGCGCCAACATTATTAAAAAAGAAGAAACTTTCATCCCATTAAACATGAGCAGCCATATAATTACAGGAAAACAAAAAGTTCCATTGAATAGCAACAAATATATACTTCCATGCAATTTTAAGATCATATTAAATAGGGGAAAAAATAAGAAATAATAAAATACTCCAGTACATTGAGCTTAAATAATAAAGTTCCTCTGTATTAAATAGAAGTTACATCATTGTATATAGAAAATTGAGCAACAAACATGGAATATAAAAATAGTATTATTTAGCAACCAAAAAAGAAAATTAATAAACGCTCAAAGTTTGCAACACAGAACACAGACAAACAAGCATCTTTCAAGTTTCAATTGAACTAAATTCCATAATTTGAAAAATTGCAAATACAGAAATTGAGGTAACAACATAATACAGAAAATTCAGATACTATGAATTCCAATTCGCTCTCTCTCGATCACTAAATAAAAATTCAAAATAGTACAAATTGAGGTAAAGAATATCAAATGAAATACCTCAAATTTAGTATTGGAGTCGAGTTCTAATTATAAAAGTAACTAAGGAAAAAGAAAATCGGAGAGAGGAGGAGCGAATTGAATTACCTGAGGAACAGTAAGTGAAGCGAGCGAGACTGCGAGAGAGGCGAGGAGGAGAGAGAAGCGTACGAATCGAGAAATCTTGTTTGGATCAACAACACGTGCGACTTTATTTTTTTATGGGACTGGATTGCCCTTCTACGATTTCCTTGTTCTCCTCATTATATAATTTTACATTTAAAAAACATAAAAAAAAAGGAAATATTACTTGCCAATGAGGCAATGACTGTCAATTTTTATTATTGTTTTGTCACCTTTTTTTAATAATAAAAAAAACAAACTAAAATATTAAATCTGGTTGGCACATGTATCTGGTGTCAGTTAATCTTTTATACTATTAGATTTTTTTTTTTGACCATATGATAGATTTTAAGTTGTGGGAGTTTGAAATTTGAGAAATACTTGCCGTGTCCTATGATCCATACACTTACCTATGCATTAATCAAACTAATTACAAAAGGTATTTTATTTTAAATGGTGATATTTCTAATTATATATTTAAGATAAAAAGATAAAATAATATTTTTCAAATAATTTTTTGTTATTAGCTCAGTATATGGGGCCACTCATATCGAGATGTAGGCAAATCTTACCCAATAGAGTGGTGGAACCTAGTTAGTATTGAATTGATAATCTCATAATCAATAACTCAAAGGATGAGTTCAATACTATTTGCCAAAACTTAAAAAATAGCACTCTAATGTACAAAGTAGGAACGAAATGCTACGAAAGTCGTGTCTCAATCAAGAACTGAAAGCTGCCACTGTGGGATTGATTAGCAGTTATGGACTTGTGCCATAGATATTGAGACAACTTTTGTTTTTTATTGAAAAGAAAAAAGAAGGTTATAACTTAAAAGTACCAAATACTAACTACATTCAGATGAAAACAAAATTTTCCTCTATATTCATCAGTTCCAGCCCAGCAGTCAGATAAGTCTAACAAAATACATTAATTCGTGAAATCAATGTAATAAAGCTTAAACTCAGACAAACCCAGTTAGTAAACATGAAGGAGAGCATTTTTAGATCTCTTCTCAAAATGAATAAATTTATAGATCATTACAAATGTGTAATTCGCTATCAAGAATCCAATAATTTCAATTGGTAAATACAATGATTCAAGAAAATGAATGTTCAAGTGTTACCGACATCTTTGAACTTAGAATGGCACAGAGAATAATCGCATGAATGAATTCCGTCAATTATTAGTATAAGTTGATGCAAAAATCAAGCTTCTCTTCAGAATTTTTCACACTGTCATGGCTGTATAATAACTACAGTACAGAACACTGAATCTCCGGTACTGACCAGTTCCTTCTGTCTGGGAAAAGGAGGAGAAGTCTTCAGATGTATTTGCTATTCTATCTAAATGTAGTATGGCAATAAAATGGTGAGAAGGCCTCTCTGATTCTAATATCATGGGATAATCACAGCGAAAGTGAACTAGAATCCAGTCTGAAGAGCTTACTTCTTAGTTCGTTCTACCTTTGTTCGAACTGTCTCCAAAATTATCTCTGTCTCAAGGTCAAACATTCTATTGACGGCATGCATGACCTCAAGTACCTCTTCTGGCTTACGGCAGTCATTTGCATCAATTCTAAGGTGCTGCATTGGACCATGAAGGAACTTCTTCAAAATACCCATGCTAAGATCATAGATAGCCTTTTTTTGTTTCTCTGAGATGTTGCCCATCTTCGACAAACATTTGTCCAGTTCAGAAGCTCTGATCCTTTCGAGATAAGCACGCAACTTCTTGATGGTCGGAACAGTCTCAAGGGAATCCTTCCAAGCTTCAAATTTACGTAATTCTTCTGAAATAACTGATTGTGCTTCCATAGCTTTCCTGAGCCGATCTTCCTTATTAGCTGCCACAACTTCCTTGAGATCATCCACATTGTAGACTTCTGCTGTCTCCAGATCTGATACACATGGTTCTACATTCCTAGGGACAGAAATATCAATGAAAAATCGCCTTCCAAATTTGGGGTCCACAGGAAGGAGTCTCTGCACATGTTCTTTCAAGAACAAAGGAGCATCTGATGCGGTGCATGTGAAAATCACATCAGCTTCACTAGCACAGGCCATCATTTCTGTAAGTGGTTTATAGATGATTTCAACATACTTGAGCTCCTCTCGGATAGCAGCAACTTTTTCCTCGGTTCTATTTACAACCACCATTTTGGTGCACCCTTTTGCAGCCAAGTGTTTAATCACTAGTTTCCCCATCTTGCCAGCTCCAATTACCAAAACCCTAACAGAATCATAAGAAGACTCAGGAAGCTTCGTCAGGCCAAGCTCTACAGCAGCTGAACTAACTGAAACTGACCCTGAGGCAATGTTGGTTTCAGTTCTAACACGCTTCCCTGCAATGATTGCATGTTCAAACAGCCCACTGATTTTCCTGCCAAAGCCAGATACTCCTTGTCCAAGTTTTTTAACTTGTCTAACCTGGGCAAGTATTTGACCTTCTCCTAGAACAACGGACTCAAGTCCAGAAGCTACTTGAAATAGGTGTCTTGTAGCATCTTCATTATACAATATAAAACGATGCTCGGAAAGCTCTGAAATAGGAATCCCACTAATCTGGAAAAGAAAATATATATTATGGTCAGTGTCGCTTCTCGTATTGTTTATGTAATTTATAAAGACATAAAAACACTTACAGTTCCTACCAAATATTTTAACCAAGTACATATAAGCGTTATACAGCCGATACATGTATTATTACTCAGATCAAGTAAAATTGAGAGGAGTTCTGTAAAACATCAGATAGACAGGATCTGCCTAGGACACTATCCGCTGTTCTTTATAGGAAAGTTTGAGGAACATTGGGGAGGGCTGAAAAACTGGAACCATAATTAATTCAATATATAACATAACAACTGCAACTGGATAGTGATAGAACATCACAATGTAAAATTAATTTTATCTTTTTCATGCTCTATTAGAGAATCAAACAAAGAATTGACAGAATTGACAAACTAGAACCATGAAGAAATCCAATATATGATATACCAACTGGACATGATAGGACATCACAATGTAAAATTAGTTCATGCTCTATTAGAGAGTCAAACAAAGGCCAAAAAAAATGGAGCAAGTACCTTAGACATCCATTCAGTCACTTCTTTAACCCCTCGATGTTGAGACAAAGCCACAACATATATTTCCATTCTGTTGCAAGTACTAAGAACAGCAGCTTCTTCTATATGATTCAAATCACAAAGCTCATTAATGGCTTGAGGCCACTGAGCTTCCGGAATGGCAAGTTTCTCCCGTATTTCAACTGGTGCAGTGTGCACATTTAGCCCTATGACAGCAATGCTGCTCTTTTCCTTTGTATATCCTGATTAAAAAAGAAAACAAGCATAGTTCAACAATTAGTCCTCAAAAATGATTGTCATAAACAAAAAGGAAAAAACTAAAGTAAAACAAAAACCTCTCATTTTGGTTCATCCATAAAATTTTGATGTGAGATTGCAGAGTTTGATTGTGAAATTTGAAAAAGAAAAATTTGACACTTCATATTACCCTTTTAAACTTGATAATCCATTTTTACTCGAGTTCAAAAAAAAACCCAAAAAACCAAAAATTAAACAGTAAAGAAGAACTATTATATTGGTCAACCAGCGATGCACTGTATAATTACGTATCATTAAGGCCACTAAATACATGAAAATTTTGCCTTATGAATCATGACGCCGTCAAAATTGACCCTTTTTTTTGGGGGGGTCTGATTATCTTAAAAATGAATGAAGAAAAACAAATTCAAAAAAAGTACTCACTTTCAATCCCGGAAGCCTTGAGTTGCTCAAGAGCGATAAGATTTGAACTTTTGGAGTCAATCTTATCAATAGGATTCAAATTCTGAGAAACAGCTTCACATCTCAAAGAAAGTACTGCTCTATCAAAAACCAGAGAAGAATTCCTATTCTTCTCCTTCTTCCCGTTATTATTCAACACTCGCGATCCACACCAAAAAGAAGAAGAAAACGACGGAGTCGATTGCATTTGCCTACACGGAACTGAGCCGGCGAAACTGCTCGCTGCCGCTGTCGCTACCGCCATTGAGAGAAAGAAAAAGAGATATACGATGAATCAGCAGTAGCAACAGCAAGAAGAAGAATGCGAAATCTAAATCCCTAAATTACTGAGAATTGGTAGATCACAGAACTAATTCGATGAGAGAGGGAGAGACTTGGGTTTGGTGCGAAAAATTTCCTCCCGTGGAAAATATTATGCACGATGTTGGAGGCTGTAGCTTTAAATATTCGTTTACCAAACAACGGGAATGGAACAATACGCGTTTCTTCCACACGCCGAGCAAGGACAATTTAATTTGATTTAGGTTTTTGTCTTTTTGCTACAAATTTAGTTTAGTTTTTTAGTTTTTTTTTTTATTGTAGTGCAAATATATTAATATTAATATTAATATACATTTAATTTTATTCACAATAAGTGTTTTGAGAAAAAAGGTGAATACAATCTAAAAAAAAAAGAAAAAGAAAAAGAAAAAGAAAAGGTGAATACACATGGACTAAAAATCAAAAAATAAAATTAAGTCGTTCTAGTTTGATTTTTTAATTTAATTACGTGAATCAATTCGGTTTAATTTGATTTATAATTTTATGTAATTTTAATTCTTAATTAATTAATTCAATTATTAAAAAAGTCAAATTTACTTGTTAATCAAATTAAACCATTTAAATTGACCAAATATAATTAATTTAATTCGGTTTGATTTTATATAAAGTTTGATGTGGATTTGATTTAAAAAAAAATTATAACTCTTTTTGAAAGGAAAAAAATTATAACACAATTTTTAGTTTTTATTATTATGTCGTACATTTATTATAATTATAAAAATGATTCACTGAATAATGGATTCAATAATAAAAATATATATCTTTCATTAAAATTAATTTTTAATTAAATTAATCACGTTATTTAACTAAGGATTCAATTGTGAATTAATTGATTAAGAGCACAAAATAATTAATATTTAACTTATGATTTAAATGTAGATAATTACTTTTAAATTTTGCTGATATGATGAAGTTTTATTATTTTAATCCACAAAAATAGGATCTGTTTAAGAAATTTTAATGAAGTTATATGTATGACTTTGCAGCCACCAAACTTGAGGGAGAAAAGATGAGAGTTTGAAATTTTGAATTTTCATCATACAAATAATTTTATTTTTCTTTAACTTTTGTCAAAGTCTATTTATTATATACTATTGTATGAAATGTTAAATTTATAAACTTAAATGGCATAAAAATACTGCAACCTTAGTGGCCTGGCAATGAGGACTAAGTCAACCACTCAAGGAGACTGTGCCTACCACACGTAGTTTGACTTTCCAGAAGCAAGCAACAAAATATTTTGTTTCTGCAATGCACAAATAGGGTTGAGTGAGAATACTGCTAATTTTGAACTAATTATATTTAAATTTGTTTAATTTCATTTTTTTTTTTTTTTTGAAATACCGATATTCAATTCTGTTAATAATTTTAATTTTTCATAATCATGTCTATCACAAAATCAATTTAAGAAATATTAAAGGTAAATTTAAAATACGTTGGTAAAAATTGAAATGCAATACTCTGGACTATCTTAACTCCAACGTGAAATTTAATAATCTAAAACTTCAACTTCCTAATATAACTCCTTCAATTTATTATATTTCTTAGTTTGTTTATGTTTTAATAAAATTTCTGCTAATGAAATATATGTAATATAAACAAATGTTTTCCTTTCTATTTTTGTATAGGAGACATAAAGAATGGAGTAAGTATGGTACCAAATTAATTTTTCACTTAAATTTTATATTATATTTTTAAACGAATTTGAGTACAGTAAATACCTTAATCTCCAAATTTGTTTAAATAGATGAGTTTGAGTTTTGAGCAGTGGATATCAGAAACACTAAGGATCTGTTCGGCAAAATTAACTATTTTGGTAGCTGTTGTTTGTTTTATTAGTTTTAATTAGCTGTCTTAATAGTTTTTCATGAAAAGTTAAAAGCTAACATTTAGTCGTTAACTATTTTAGTAGTTTTCCATGAAAAATTAAAAGTTAAACGTTAAAATAATCTCTAAAAGTCCGTCCAACCGCTATGTTACCGTTGATCCGTCAAAACGCTAAAAACTACCTAAAAAACTATTGCTGAACATAACCTAAATCTAAAACCATTTAAACTACAACAGTCAATAAATTTGCATGTACCCATCTAAAAGGGTTTATGATAAGAATAATGCAATTTGTAAAACTATTTGTCAAATTGATGCAAATTTGAAAAAGTGCTAATGGAATAAATGTATTATACAGAGACATGGCAATAATTGGAAGCCTTAAAATTATCAGATGAGTAAATAGTTTATAATTCACATTAGTTTGATAAATAGTTCTATAAAACGCATCATTTTTATTGTAAATCCCATTTTCAATTTAATTAATATTCAAACCGTTTTTAAACAGATTGGAATAATTAAATACTAAAAACAAAAAATTACCCTAATTTCATCACTATGCACAAACATAATTAAAATTCAAAAAAAAAATTATAATATATATTTATTAATTCATTAATAGCCATTTTGCTAATTAACACTAATCACCGTTGTTGAAGACATTAAACTTGTCATAACTAAAAATACCAGAATTTTCCAAAAGAAAAAAAAAACTAAAAAGACCAGAATAAAGTTTGGTGTATTGAAACATTTCCATTAAAAGACATTTTTATGGAGATAAATTATTTTCCAAAACAAATAAAGTCTAGGCATAATTGAATTTTTCTAGAGTCCACTCAGTACTTCTTGAACCGGTCTAGATTCTAAAACTAACAGTAACGGAAACAAAACAATATCCAAACCAAACCTCATCTCTCCCCCTACCAACTGATGGGTTTCAACATCATCAAATCCTCACCTATTTCCTCTACCAAAACCATTCTCTTCGCCACCACTCCTAAACCCACTCTCTTCAAGCCTGTCTCTCCACCCCACTCTCTCTCTACTTCTATCTCCTTTAACAAATCCAATTTCAGATTTTCCTCACCAGAACTCGTTCCTATTTCCCTTTCTGTTTCTGGGTTTAGTGGGTCCTTCTACAAGAGTAACCGTACCTTTCGTGGTAGTGTCATAGCCATGGCTGCTCCTGGGTCCGTCCAGAAATCAGACGAGGAGTGGCGTGCGATTCTGTCTCGTGAGCAGTTTCGCATTTTGAGAGAGAAAGGCACAGAGTAAGATTTTATGTGGTCTTCCATGGATTGATTTTGGGATTAATTTCTTTAACATATATTAATTTAAAGATTTATCTGAAACAAACTAATTGAGCTGTATTCAGTTGAATTCTTGGTTTGTGCACATATTATAGTAATTGCAGTTAAGCTTATTAATGGGAAAATAAATTTTTTAGGATTATTGAGAGATTATTAATTGGAGGAACTGAGCAGAGACCTGTTAGTTTTTGCTAATTAGGTAAGAGACACTGTTAGCTATTTATGCATAATATTTGAGGTTCTAACATGGGATGCAAGAGTTAGTTGACAAAGCTCTGATTTTTCTTGTAAGATTATTCTTTTTATTAGACTTGAAAACATGCATTCTAATACTTTGATAGTATCAAATGCTTATCTAGTGTATTAGAATGACCTGTTACATTTTCAACAGGCAAGGACTTTGTTATAAAAGCTTTGATTTGTTTTAGGCTCTATTTTCTCGCAGAAAATAGCTTAGCCACTCCATGGAAAAATTTTCCTCAGAAAGTTGTTTAATTGCAACACAGCCAAATAGAAAGAGTTAATCTTCAGAAGCACATGCTTTAATATGCCTAAAGATGAGATATGTGCCTTAGACTGTTCCGTAAGGGAATCTTATGCCCTGAAGAGAAAACCTAAAATAATTGTAATATTTTAACCTGACTATCTTAATCAATATCATCTCCGACACTCTGTCACTTAGGTGCTAGCTTCATATACCGGGGAGTGATGAAAAATTTTCATATGAAAACAGTGGGAGAGAACTGTGTGGATTCATCTTACAATGTTAACTCTAAGGACTGGTACTTGATTTTTGGCCTCTAAGCAAGAGTTTCCTATTTGAGAAGAAGCCTATACTGATAGAAGAAGTTGTCCGGTTATTACTCTTTTGTCATTCTCCTCTATTTGGGCAAACAGCCACAATGTAGTAGCAAATCAACGTTTAGTGTGGTTATCTTCTTTTTCTTCACTATTGATTTGCAAAAGCCAGAAGTTTTGTGTTTGGTTGGGAAAAGGCTAATAGAATTCTACACTCTACAGTGACAACCAGATGTAGCCTTCCACTGTTTTCGGTGATATGAGCAATTTTATAATGTGTTCACCTGTTACTATCTCTGAGTTCATATAGTTAATGAAGTAATGATGCCCATGAATTTTTCCATTTATATATTGCTCATATAGCTGAATAAAAGATATTGAAGTCATGAAGTGCTGTGACTCCAAAATGTAGCCTTAGTTTGTTGACTAAATGTCTACATGAAATTTCTCAAAGAAGGAAAAATATTCTACATGAAAGCAATGGGAAACTACTACAGTTTCAAATGGTAATACAGAGAATAAAATAATAATAACAATTGTAGCAGGGCATAGATTATCAAATTAATTCCAACCATTCATTTTATGTGTTCAACTCAAGTATTCATATGAAATCAGAAACGTAGAATTTTGAATCCAGGTAGGTTTAATTGGTTCTTGGAATTGGAGTGTCATTTCTTCTGCATTGATTCCTAAAGGATTAAATGGAGAACAAGAGACATAGACTATTGACTCACATGTTGGAGTTCTTCCAAATCTGACCTGAAATTTCTGTTGCGTGATCAGATGCAGCATGCTCAACTGCCCTTGATTGGTTACATTAGATTTCTCTTAATATTGTTATATATTACCCAGCAATATATAAATTCTTGCCATAATTTGGAGCCATGCAGATATCCAGGCACAGGGGAATATGACAAGTTTTTCGAAGAGGGTGTCTACAAATGTGCAGGCTGTGGTACTCCTCTTTATAAATCCACAACTAAATTTAATTCTGGTTGTGGTTGGCCAGCTTTCTTTGAGGGTCTTCCTGGAGCAATAAATCGCACTGTGAGCTTTGTTCCCCTTTTGTCGAACTAGTTCATCTTTCTGCTTTATCAATAATCTTTGTGAACTTGTAGCAATTCATTTCTAAAGATATATTGATACGAATGGCATATATTTTGTTATCAGCCGGATCCAGATGGCAGGAGGATTGAAATTACATGCGCAGCTTGTGGTGGACATCTAGGACATGTTTTTAAAGGGGAAGGATTTCCAACACCCACGGACGAACGCCATTGTGTGAACAGTATATCACTCAAGTTTGTTCCTGCAAATTCTTCTCTGTGAGATTATATTATTTACTGCTATCTCATTCGAATCCATAGCGTTATGTATAAAACATGGAAATAGAAAATGTTCATGCAAATAAAAAAACTGGTGCTTGGCTTAACGATGAGCTACAGTTTCTTAGTCGTAGATTGGAGGTTCTGTAACAAATAGATGTTACCTGTAAGCGGGGCTCTTGTGCTATAAATTGTGTGTGGAATGGATATGGGTTTACCTCTCAAAATTGTTTTTTTCTTTCTTTCCAAATATAATTTGAATATATATATATTTTTCAATTCTTGCCAAATATAATTTTAATATATATATATAGTAATATATATATATTATGTAGTAGTGATACGACACTCACGACTATTATATGATATATATGGGACAATTAACTAATTTATTATAATGTTAATATACATCTAAAATAGATAACAGCTACATCAAAAAATTTAACACTAATTGGTTACTCCTGTCAATATAGCATACGCCGTCCAAGATGCTTGATGTAAGATTTTTTTCTACCGTCTCAATAGAAGATCATAAGAATGAAGAGGGGTCGCTCCCATACACTCTAGATTTTCATCAACTCGATTATGCAGATTTTTTCCTACTTTTTTTTTCTTTTTTCAAAACATCTCATCGAATGAAACTAAAAAACAGTGACTAACTATTTTTATAATGTTAATATAATCTAAATATAACAGCTAACATCAAAATTTAACTATTGGTTACTCTGTCAATTAGATATGGTCTGATTAGTTTTTCTACCTCTCATAGAAGATATAGAATGAAAGGTCGCTCCCATACACTCTAATTTTCATCAACATCGATTATCAGATTTTTCTACTTTTTTTTTTTTTTTCAAACATTCCATCGAATGAAACTAAAAAACAGATTTAGCTTCATTTATATTTTCTCATATAATTTTCCATATATAAATTAATAAAAAAAATTGCCTTTCTCGGCTTTAATTGGGTCTTGGTGAAGCCCACCTCAAATCGGGCCCAAAAAGAAAAATTATACGGAAAATATAGCAGCGAAATACAAAACCCTAACAAGTAACGTCTCTGTCCTGTAAGAGCTAACTGCTAAAATTACGACTCATCTCAACCTCAATTTCAACCCTCTCAGGTATTCCCTCACTTCATTTTCTGTTTGGCTTGAACTGCAGTGTATAAGGAGAAATTTAGTATAGTATTCTATTGTTCTTTTTTTATCTCCACTAAAGTGTGGTTAGGGTTTTGGTTTTTGGAAAATTGACAGATTTATTTTTTTTTTCCAAGTTTTATATTTCATTTAATATTGGATTTGAAAGATATGATCTATTTTTACCTTTTTTTTTACAACTTAAATAATTTTCCATTGTTGTTCTGTTTTAATTTTCTAGCTCTTTTTTGTCTGAAAAAAAAAAAAAAAGAAACATAATGAATTCGAAACTGTAGTTTTTATTTAATTACTTTAGATTGATATGTTAATTTGTATTAATGCTTGTTAATGCTTTTTAATTCTATTTATTAGCTTTTTCGAAGATTTATCTTAATTATTTCTGTTCATTTTGTGTTATTTCAGATTCTCTTGGGTTTTGGCATAGCATCTCAGATTCTCGATTCTGGGGACAGGTTTGTTGTTGGTAAATTTCATTAATCTCCATTCCTTAGGATCAACGCAGTCCAATAACTGACCCTAAGAATGGAGATTAATCAAATTTATCGATAACCTCTCTCAAGTTGGTGGCTTTTTGTTGGTGTATTATAATTAAAGATTAATTAAATTTACCCATGACCTCTATCCACTTGAATGTGTCAGTGTGCGATAATTGAATCTAAGTAATGGAGATTAATTTAATTTATCGAATAAAATACAATTTGATGTTTTCCTATGATCCATGTCGACCCTTAACAAGTGAACTCATTCAATCTGGGTTGTGATTGAATAAATAGTTAGATCCCTTTGAATAAATGGATTATTGATTATCTTAATAACAAGTAAATTCAATATTTTGAAAGGATTAAAAAGTTATTTTACAATTAATATTTATGATTTTGTATTCAAATTATAAATCTAAACTTATATTCCTATCAAATGATTATTTATCTATTTAAATTTAAATATCATTAATACTTAAGTTGTTGCAACCAGGAATTAAAGAGTAGAATTTGGCAGTGCAATCTAGAAGGATTCTGTCAAGGTGTGGGTGTTGCAAGTTTGGTACAAAATGCCTCAATGGGTGCTCTGAACTTTTTAATCAATAGAATGTCACTTGCTTTGGTATATGATCATATCTGGTGATTGTAGCTGTTACTAATTTATATGACCTTCACTTGATATCATAATTATTCAGATGTGGGTAGAAATATATCTATAGGAGCACTTGATTGTTCAAAGACATATTTTGGCTTCATTTATACCTTATCCGATGATAAGCTTTTAACTATTTTAGATTTGTTAATTAGAATTCTGTTGAACTCCATTGCCTAATTTAATTCTAGCATCTTCCATATTAGCAACTTTGACAGCAACATCTTAAAATTGCATGTGATCTCCTTGGATGCTTTATCCAATTCAGTTCTTCCTGATCGGGTGAATGAGATTGGTTGGGTTCTTTGATTTGCTTATTTAAGTGGGAGGACTTTCATCAGTAGCAGCAGGTGGGCTCAGGCTCAGTTTATTGAATTGTCTCTTTTCACGAATCCGCAGCAAGAAGACTTGAAGGTCTATGCCTGAGGAGAATGGTTCCTGATAGAAGTTGCAGCATTGTCAATTCACATATTGTAAGGGTGAGAACACTGAGTTTATTGCTGATGGACTTGTTTATAGGATGAACTGGGGTTCTGATAATAGAGTTCTTGTTCCTATATTATGCTTAAGCTTGGCATAAGGTTCTCTAAACAATACTCTAGCATTTTTCTGTACTCTTGTTGCATAAGTTTTAAGATGATTAAGAAGTGTTCAATCTTGCTTTGATGACATGTAGTGTCTCAAATCTTTGCTTTTTAATATAAAAAATTAACTTTTAATAATAAAAAAAACACTATGTCAACTATGAAAAATAAAAAATTGGCAAAAATATATGTTATTTCATTGTTTCAATCAAGTTGTTCTTTAATGTAAATTAACTTATTAAGGGTTGTTTTATTATTAAATTTTAGCACTTATAAAAAAGTTCAAAAAGTATTAAAATTAAAATATTATTTATATTCTTAGATAATATAAAAAAAAATAGAAAATGCACAATAATTTTTTCTAATATTTTTTTCCCTCAGTATTGAAATTGAATATGAATTTATAAAATTATAAAAAATTATTACGTTTATGTTATCATTAAATATTTGCATGCAACCAATCAATATTTAAAAAAAAAACAGGCAATAAAATTTAATTTTTAAAAATAAATATTTTTTTATGAATTTATATAAATTAATTGAAACTAAAATTGAATTAAAGATGCTTCATACGCTCAACTTTCACCAACGATATATTCCTTTTCTTTTTTCAATTTTTAAAATTTTTATTAAATTAGATTTAAAACAAACTTTGCTACGTGTACATGTTATAGTACTATTTTTTTTTCCCGTAAAAATTGAAAAACAAAATTACGTTTATGGGCTTTAAGTATTAGTGAAGCCCACTTCAAATGAGGCCCAAAAAGAGAAATTATATACGCGGAAAGTATAGGAGGGAATCCAAAACCCTTGCAACTGTTTCGTAAGATCGAACGCAGCTTAAATCACTACTCAGACATCCCCAACCTCTGCCTCTCGATTGCTTTCTCCCAGGTACTCTTACTTTTTCTGTTTGGTTTCCGAGAAACCGCTGTATTGAAGGAGAAGTTTTGTATCGTACTCTAGTTTCTTTTTTGTCTTCACTAAAAGTGGGCTTAGGGTTTTGTATATTTTTTATTTTTGGAAATTTGACACAGATTTTTGTCTCTAAGTGGATTTGATAGATGTAATCTGTTTTTACCTTTTTTTTTTTTAAAATAATTTTTTCATTGTTTTGTTTTAATTTCATTGTTGGGTTCTCTGAATTTTTTTTTAAAAAAAAGGAAAGAAAATAAAGTAAGAAAGAAATAGATTCAAAACTGAAAATTTGTTGTAGTTTCTTTTAGTTGTGATATGTTAATTTGTGTTAAGGCTTTCTTCTTTTAATTAACTTTTTCGTAGATTTATATTAATTATTGGTGTTTATTCTGTGTTATTTCAGATTCTCTTGGTTTTCTGATCTATTCCATTTAATTTCTACTACAAGATGGCATCTCGATTCTGGGGACAGGTTTGTTGTTGTTGCTAGTGTCTTTGTATTCAGAATTTCAGATTCCATCTTCCAGGGGAAGGTTTGATACCTGATTGCATTATATCTTATTTGTTTTCTTATTTTTTCTAGGGCGGAAGTGACTCTGAGGAGGAAGAGAGTGATTATGAAGAAGAGGTTGATAATGAGGCTGGTGACTCTACCACCCAAGCCCCACAAAACAGATATCTCAGAGGAACAGCTAGTGATAGTGATGATTCTGATGACCAAAAGCGTGTCGTCAGATCGGCGAAAGACAAACGTTTTGAAGAGATGTCAGCTACTGTTGATCAAATGAAGAATGCAATGAAGATTAATGATTGGGTCAGTTTGCAAGAGAGCTTTGACAAAATTAATAAACAGCTTGAGAAGGTCATGCGGGTGACAGAATCTGATAAGGTCCCATCCCTTTACATCAAAGCTCTAGTGATGTTAGAGGATTTCTTGAATCAGGCTTTGGCAAATAAGGAAGCTAAGAAAAAGATGAGCAGTAGTAATGCTAAGGCCTTGAACTCAATGAAACAGAAACTGAAGAAGAACAATAAACAGTACGAGGATTTGATTAATAAATTTAGGGAGAATCCAGAGAGTGAGGAGGAACAGGAGGCAGATGAGGAGACTGAAGAGGAGGAAGACTCGGATTTAGAGTTTGTAGAGGACCCTTCAAAGATTGCAGTGTCTGATGAGGATGAAGAGGATGAGGAAGATCGCCAGGATGGTCGAACAGAGGTTGAAGGTGACTGGCAGAAGATGTTGAGCAGGAAAGAAAAACTCATGGATAGGCAGTTTATGAAAGATCCTAGTGAAATCACATGGGATACGGTAAACAAAAAGTTCAAAGAGGTTGTTGCTGCTCGAGGTAGGAAGGGAACTGGACGGTTTGAGCAGGTTGAGCAACTAACTTTCTTGACAAAGGTTGCCAAGACCCCTGCACAGAAGCTTGAGATTCTTTTTAGTGTGGTTTCTGCCCAATTTGATGTGAATCCAGGATTGAGTGGTCATATGCCTATAAACGTATGGAAGAAGTGTGTGCATAATATGCTGATTATTCTGGATATTCTCGTCCAGTATCCTAACATCGTCGTGGATGATATGGTTGAGCCTGATGAGAATGAAACCCAGAAGGGGGCAGATTTTGATGGGACAATTCGGGTTTGGGGTAACTTGGTGGCTTTCCTTGAGAAGATAGATTCAGAGTTCTTCAAGAGTTTGCAATGTATTGATCCACACACAAGGGACTTTGTTGAGAGGCTGCAGGATGAACCAATGTTTTTGGTCCTTGCTCAAGATGTCCAAGAGTATCTAGAGCGTGCTGGGGACTTTAAAGCTGCATCAAAGGTTGCCCTAAGGCGCGTTGAGTTGATCTATTACAAACCCCAAGAGGTTTATGATGCCATGAGGAAACTGGCTGAACAAACAGATGATGGTGATGGTGTGAAGTCAGGAGAGGTTGAGGAAAGTAGGGGTCCCTCTGCCTTTGTAGTCACTCCTGAGCTTGTGCCTCGAAAGCCTACTTTCCCTGAGAGTAGCAGAACAATGATGGATATGCTTGTCTCTCTGATATATAAATGTGGAGATGAGAGAACAAAAGCTCGTGCAATGCTTTGTGATATCTACCACCACGCTCTCCTAGATGAGTTCTCAACTTCCCGTGACTTGTTATTAATGAGTCACCTACAGGATAGTATCCAGCACATGGATATTTCAACTCAGATTCTCTTCAACAGGGCTATGGCACAGCTTGGTTTGTGTGCATTCCGTGTTGGGCTAATCACTGAAGGACATGGTTGCCTTTCTGAACTGTATTCTGGTGGAAGGGTGAAGGAGTTGCTTGCACAAGGTGTTTCACAAAGTCGTTACCATGAGAAGACTCCAGAACAGGTTTTGTTCTTTCTGTATTGCTTACTATTTGTATCTTTTTTGTCCATAATTATCATCTCTCTTGTTATTTCCATTTCTCATTTTGTTTACTGTCAAATTGAAAAAGCATGATTGTTTTCCGATGTTTTGAGGGTTTGAACAGCTAGCAAATATTAGTTTTTATGTTATTTCTTGTTCAATGAAAGACATTTAACATTTTCTGAAAGGTCTTTATTAGCTGACAAGGACCAATTTTTATTTGCCATTTTGCCTGCAAAAATAGTTGATGGAGACCAATGGTTCCAATTGTAGGCAAAAGGAAATGGTGAACTGAAGGTTCTGGCTTTTGTAATGTACTATGATGAGTGAGTTGTGTACTAATAATGTTAATGTCGTTCATTTTTCTTTCCTTTGATTTTTAAGAACCTTTAATAATATCGATGTCTGTTCTAAGAGTAGTTCTATTAATAGTGTATCCAGAATATTTTATTTTATAGTATGTTGTGTATTAAGGATTGGTTCAATACTTGTAAACTTCTTTACAAGCATGCGCAGGAATTAATTACTTAATATCTATATCTACATTATATATTTTTCTGGTGGTGTTAGAGGTTTAATAGATTCAGGAATCAAGAGATAAAATTTATTGTGATGTCCTGCACATATTAGTATACAGAGGGTAAATGATGTAGAATTTGATGTTAGAAATTAACTAAGCTTTTAGAATCTGCTCCACATGAAGTGTGTAAATGTGAGGGATTTAAACCCTTATATGTTTTGGTTTTTTTAGGCTTTCCATGTGATGATGCGTGTTAGTCAAGTAGATTTAGTTCTGAATCCCAACATCAATTGTTCCTTTTTATCTTGTCTATTTTTTGGTCCCTTCCTGGGTGGGGGATGTTATGAACCTGCAGTGTAATTGCAACTGTTTTTCAATAATTGTTTTTTCAGAAGGGTCTGTGTAGCATCCATTAGAATGCAAAATATTATACAAAAACATGGTCTGTGTCTGTTAGTTTGTGAGTGATGTTGTTAAGCCTTAGGTGGTGTTCTGCTGCAGTTACTAAGTGATTAACATGTGGGCTAGTACAATTACAGAATAAATTTAGGTTTATATCCATGAGATGAAAACCTGATTAAGGCTAAAGGAGATAGTGTTTTGGTTACCACAACACATGAAATCCTACTTTCCTTTCTGGCTGTTTGCGTTTCATCTCGTGTAAAATGTGAGCACCATGAAGTGCATAAAACCCTTTGTGGCAAGAACAATGTTTTGTGATGCTAGATTTTTTTCTTTTTTTTTCTTTTTTTTTTAAGTTGTTGAATTGCTTGAGATCAAGGGTTGGTGATGTCATTGTTGATTCATTTTTCTTGTGAAAATATTTTCCATAAAATGTGGTATCTTCTAAACTTATGTATGTAGTAATTTTTTTTTCTAGTTATCTGCTGACAGTTGCAAATTGATTTTGACAGGAAAGGCTGGAAAGGAGACGCCAGATGCCATATCATATGCATATCAATCTTGAGCTTCTGGAGGCTGTGCACCTTATTTGTGCGATGCTACTGGAGGTCCCCCACATGGCAGCCAACACACATGATGCAAAACGCAAAGTCATTAGCAAGACATTTAGGCGTTTGCTTGAGGTTAGTGAGAGGCAAACTTTCATAGGTCCTCCAGAAAATGTGAGGGATCATGTGATGGCAGCAACTCGTGCTCTTACCAAGGGGGATTTCCAGAAGGCTTTTGATGTTATCAAGTCTCTTGATGTCTGGAGGCTCCTTAAGAGCAAAGACAGCGTTCTTGAGATGCTCAAAGCCAAGATTAAGGAAGAAGCTCTTAGGACGTACCTATTTACCTACTCCTCCTCTTATGAGTCACTTAGCTTGGACCAGCTCACCAAAATGTTTGACCTCTCAGGAACCCAAACTCATAGCGTTGTTAGCAAAATGATGATCAATGAGGAGCTTCACGCAAGTTGGGACCAGCCAACACAGTGCATCATCTTCCATGATGTTGCGCACTCAAGGTTGCAGCTTCTGGCATTCCAGTTAACTGAGAAGCTGTCAGTTCTTGCTGAAAGTAATGAGAGGGCGATAGAGGCAAGAGTCGGTGGTGGTGGTGGTTTGGATCTGCCTGTGAGGCGGAAAGAGGGCCAGGATTATGCTAGCATGGCTGCTGCAGGTGGCAAGTGGCAAGACTCTTACACTCCGGGAAGGCAAGGTTCAGGGCGTTCAGGATATAATGTTGGTGGTGGCAGACCACCAGCACTAGGCCAAGCTACTGGTGGTGGCTATTCAAGAGGTCAGTCACGAACAGGTGGATACTCAGGCGGGTCAAGGTATCTAGATGGTGCATATGGTGGTTCAGGAAGGACTTCTGCAAGGGGATCTCAGTTGGATGGTTCAAATCAAATGGTTAGTCTCAACAGGGGGGTTCGTGCATAGAGGAATAGTAAGAGATGCAATCAATTTTCTTACGAGTAGACAAGTCTTTTCCACCTGTTCCTGAATTTTGTTTGTTGTTTTTGTGCCCTTTAATTTCATTTCTATTATAATCTGAATTGGGACTAGAAAAATAGACGTGTAAGTTATATTTTTGGCTAATGAGAACATGCGAACTAGCGTTTATATAGGATATACTAAGATGTCCCTCCCCTTTACTTTTTGAGTGGTTATGTATTTTCGTCTTTTTTATTTGCACAGGCCAAATATGCAAATTTTTTTTTTTTAAATTTTACAGAGATTAGTTATATATCTAAAGTTCCGAATGTTAATACTATTTATGTTTTTTTATAATGGGAATTATAATTATAATTTTTGAAATAATAATAAAATGTTATTTAATAAGTGTAATTTTATAAATTAAAATATTTAATAAATTAAAATTTGTAAATTGAAATGTTTGATAATTAAAAAAAAATGTAAATGTTTTCGTTAATTTATGGATGAAAAGAAATATTGATAATTGATATTCTCTCAGTTTTATTTTATTTGAATGATTTGATAAAATAAATATATTAAGAATTTTAATAAAAATTATTTTGATATTTTTTATCTTTAATAACTCATTAAAATACTAAATAATTATAAAATAATTCATTAAAATATTAAATAATTATAAAAATTATTATGAAAAAAGTAATTATTTATATATTTAAATTTAAAAAAATTACAAATATTTTGTAACATTTATAAAAAGAATAAGACGCAAACGAAATGGATAGATGGCAGTATTACATTTGCTTGTGGATAATCACCATCTGCATCGCCAATCTGCCACGTGGATATTACATAAGCTTTTCAGTTTTTGCTTTGTCTTTTTGTTCAAACCACGAACCAGTAGACGTTGAAGTTCTAATGTTGCTTGCATAAACGTTTGACGTTTCCATTTCCTCTTCCACAACCGCCAAACTAATTCTCAGACACAAATTCAAGAAAAATGCCAAAATCAAAAGCCTCCAGTTTTGTGGCCGTCTCCGTTTGTTCCTAACAAATGTTACATTACTTACAAACATCTAAGCCTTTAAAAATTATCCAGAGCTTAAAAATCTAGTCTTGGATGCTTTTGAAGGTTTTGTTGGAGAAAGCAACAAATGCATTTTGAGCTTCAAGCATCTCTTGTATTCTTGATTTTATGAGTTCTATTACTATGCTGGACTCAATCACTTGTTCGCATATTACCAAGGTATTATCTTGGGTCCTTTTATATGCACTGGGTTAAATATTTGAAGTGTTTGTTGAATTTTCAGTTACTATATTGTTGAAAATTTTTACTAGTTTCTCATTTTAGCATTGGAATTGGCTTGGTAATTTAAAAGTTACTAACTTTGTTAAGAAAGAAATAAGATAACAAGCTGCTCAAAATTTATGAAGTTAGTTTCTTGAAATTTTTTTTTTTTAATTCATAAATTCATTTCCTTTTGGTTTGAAGGTAATTAGACTGTTGAGGAATTCCATTTTTTTTTTTTTTTTGGCGATTTCTGTAATTTGATGCATTTGAATCTAATGTTTTGGAAGGTTAGTTAGACTTTTGTGTATATGAACTTGCACACTGTAAAGTTGTCCAGTTATTCTGAAGAAAGATAGTTATTCTGACGCTAATTCATTTGTTTACTACCCTGCAGGGACATGATATTTTCAAACAAAAATGCCCAGTTAGGGCATTCTCTAGTGATATATCACATCTTTATGTACATTATTTTAGAACTTCATATTCCCTGCGGCAGCCAATGCATATGTCTATTTATGCCTTAAGTCACAGGACAAGTCATTGCTCTGTTCTTTTGGAAAATGAACCTGAAGGCCGACCTTTCTTAACTTCCCCATTGCCTGGTTGGAGAGGATTCTATCTCCCAAAACACAGATTGGGCCGTTTGGAAAGATCTCGAACATCTGCATCTGGGGATGTTGCTAGCGCTATTGATGTCATTAATGATTTAGGATTGGATACTTTGACATTCTTGGCGGTGACTGTTGTGGTTGTTCCCATGTTCAAAATCATTAGAGCAAGTCCTGTAAGAATAGATTATCATACTTGAATGTCTGTTATGTCTGTTGTTAAACTTTTCCTCCTTTTGATTTACTGTGCAAATAGATATTATTTTATGACCTGCAGTATGCATATGCAAGTACTCGAAAGAAATTGTGCATTCATGAGTAAAGAGCACTTGTTTGTGAAAGTGTGTTAGACCAGAAGAAGGTTAGCTGAAAAATCCTTGTCATGCACCTATTGTGTGCAGAGATACAAATGAAGAGAGTGGAGAAGGGTAGAGCCTAATGATAATTCAAAATAACCCATTATCATTTTCTAATGGAAAATTGCCTTGAATTGTTTCTTTGCTTAAATTGTTCATATGAATTTTTCTTAGAGAATGTCTTTATGGAAATGATGATGTGAGTCATAATTTTTCTCTGTAAGAATAAAGCCTATTTGCTTAAAGTTGTTTATTTAAATCCAATCTTTTCAGTTACATACAGTTTGGCCTCTAATTTCTGCATAAAATTTACTACCAGCATTTATTTTTGTTCTTGTAAATGGTGTTAACAGCAAGATATCTTCATTTCTATTTATTAAAATGACCCAAAAAAGAACCATTAGCTCACAGTTTTTTTATGTTCTGAAATATGATCATTTTAATATATTCATTGTGGTAATTTGATAAGAGTGATAGCATTAATGCATAATCATGTTCAATCATTCGTTAGATTTGCATACTTTGCGAAGAGCACTTCAACGAAGTATGTAAATACACAAAAAAGATATATATGATCTGCTACTTTCTTGAAAAGCATGTCAAACTAATTCACGATACCTTTTTATTCTGGTACATTGGCAATTTAGCCATGAGGAAAATTGGCTGTTTACAATTTATGCATACTTGTATTTACATGTGTACATATATGCGTGCAAGTCTGCACATGGTATGCATATATTTGTTAATGATAATCATGCGTGCTGCTTGTTGTCAGATACTTGGTTTCTTCTTTGCTGGGGTTGTTCTCAATCAATTTGGTTTCATTAGAAATCTCACAGATGTCAAAGTTCTTTCTGAATGGGGGATCCTTTTTTTGGTAAGCACAATCACTTAACATGCCTTTTCTATTGCCGTTCTTCTGTTGGAGTTGTGATGTCCATTACCATCTTCATCTTCTCACGTTATAATATCTATTGGTGTTCTCTGAAGTTTTCATAGCAATTCAAAATATTATTATTGAAGAAAATATCATTTACTAGCACTTGCTAGAGCCATGTTGTTGCAATTCTCATGATGTTGTTTTTGAACATACTTTCTTATCCATTTATGATTATATCTATATATCTATATTATATATATATTATTATTATATATATAATAATGAATTATATATATAGTTAGTGTATATATATAGTGTTACAAATGGTTATTGAAACTACTAAATGAAAGTCTTATTAAGGAATTTTAAGGCAAAAATCTATTGAAATACTTTATTTTTTTATTTTCCAGGACAAAAGATAATGCTCTGGCAACTAATTTTGTCAAGAAAAAAAAAAAAAAGATAATCTCTGGCAATTAAGTTTTAGATATGAACTTAAACTTTTGTCTCTCTTGTTTCACTATCCAGTTATAACTTTTGACTTTATGCCATCATAAACTTTGACAGTGATATATTAAGCATCAAGTTAGACTAATTACATATGTCTTTTGTAGCTGTTGAGATGGGCATATATAGATATATATATAGTTAGTGTATATATATAGTGTTACAAATGGTTATTGAAACTACTAAATGAAAGTTCTTTATAAGAATTTTAAGCAAAATCTATGAAAATACTTTTTTTTTTTTTCCAGACAAAAGATAATCTCTGGCAACTAATTTTTGTCAAGAAAAAAAAAAAAAAGATAATCTCTGGCAATTAAGTTTTAGATATGAACTTAAACTTTGTCTCTCTTGTTTTCACTATCAGTTAATAACTTTTGACTTTATGCATCATAAACTTTGACAGTGATATATAAGCATTCAAGTTAGACTAATACATATGTCTTTGTAGCTGTTTGAGATGGGCTTGGAGCTTTCACTTGCGCGTCTAAAAGCTCTTGCCAAATTTGCCTTTGGCATGGGATTGACTCAGGTATAAGCTTCAAACTCTGTGATGTGACATAATTAGGAAGTCTTGAACATGGGACAGTACATGTATATCTTTAGTTATTTAGCAGGACTATGAAAAGTAACCTTGGCAGCTAAAAGAATAAAGGAACTATAGAGTCGTTTTGATTTTTATGAAAATTCTCTTTAGTTTTTGTTTAGGGATTTAAGTACACCTTGGTTATTTCAGAAATCTAATTTGAAGGTATCTATTTAAGTTGCATCTTACTTATTTAGCTTGCGTTTTTCTTTTCATCTACTTAGGAGTTTGATAAAAATGGGAACTATAATATTTAATCTCCTAGTATTGGGTCAATCCATTTATTTGTCACACTATTCTTTTTTCCCTTCACTTTTTCCTCCCTGCTTTTGAAGGTTGTGTTATCAACTCTTGCTTTCACAGCATTTGAACTTCCACCTAATGGGGCTATTGGAACGAAAGTTTTGCAATTTCTTTTCCACTCCAGGCCGGATTTGGTGAGTTCTATTGTTACGCAGACATTCTTGTTCCTTTTCATTATATGTAATCCCCAAATTTGTGCATTGGTGTGTTTGCATTGCAGTCTTACTGTAGAAAGCCTTGTGTTTAAAGTTATGTTGCATATACTCTTTTTGAATCCTTAATATAGTTCTTCTTGATTTCTCCTTTGATTGAATTCTAGGTCAACATCAGAAGCATTGATGAGGCCGTTGTTATAGGTGCTGCCCTTTCTCTGTCGTCTTCGGCTTTTGTTCTGCAGGTACTTAATTGTATATTGTTACATATAGTTTGTTAGTGTAACAAATATGGTTATGTTTCTGGAGTTGGCTTGTTGGGTTAGATATTAGATGTTACCATCATTAAACTTTGAAAGTGGTTTACCCTAGCTAAACTGAAGGTCTATCTACTTGTATTTTACATGTACAACTGTTTAAGAGGTGTCAGAATGAAGTCGAGGATTAGAGTTCTGAAATGTTAGGTTTTTGTTTTCATAACATAAAAAGTACATTGCTTATTGTTCTCAAAGAACTGACAACACTTCAGACCAACTGAATAAAAGAAAAGAGTGAAATGTAAGTGTTGATCTCTGGTTTAGGATAATCTATGATGATTGAAGACAAATATCTCGCAAGAAATGGTTGGAAGAGTGTCCAATATCCATAACTTCAGGAGGTTAAAAAATAACTAGAGTTCCAAGAAAAGAAATTCTGGGGCGGAAGTTACTCTTGGGGTTCTGGGTGTAAAACTGTAAATTGATACTAAATGTTCTCCCATTCCGCAGCCTATAAATGTGGGCTTTGGATTCATAATGCCTTTAGTACAAAGGAACGATATTACTTTCAGTTATTGCAAAATACGCGTTATTGTTAATAATTTTAAAATATAACTGGATTAGATTGGGATAAAAACTTAGTGGGGTTGAGTATCTTCTCTGTCCATCAATAACAGCTTTGCTTTTCTCAAAGATTTTACATGTCCTGCTGTTGTTGTTTTTGTTAAGGAAATTCCTAGCAAGTTTGAAATAGTCAAAAACTTAGTTTGGATTTTTTTTATTTATAAAATATGGATCTATTTTTTATCTATTGCAATTGGATAGAGCATGCAAGAGCTTATCAAGCATAGTATGTAGCTTCTTGCAGAGAAAGGTGAGCTCCCAACAAGATTTGGCTCTGCAACATTGGGAATTCTTCTCCTGCAGGTAGTATTCTCACTAACTCTGAACTTGTCTTTCACCATTAAATTAATAATGTACAGTTGAGATTTCTATTTGCCCTGCTTAGGGCTATGTGATAGCGTCCAAATTTTCCTATTGTCTTCTTATTTCTTCCCCTTGTGGATATTTCTTGGTCTTCATGTGAAAGAGAGATCAAAGATGGATATCAAATATCAATAACCCTTTTGGAATCTTGTTGCCTTACATTTGCAGGACATAGCTGTTGTTCCTCTCTTAGTCATACTTCCTGTGCTAGAGAGCCAGGTATGCAAGACTCACTTTTTTCTTTTCTTGAGAAAAATACATCCTTTTTGTATGCTTGGGTTTACTGTCATTGCAGGTTAATGCTTGCATGAGGGCATGCAATTTCTACGTCACTTTCTACGTTGAAGCTTCCTCTTTAAGTTGCACCATTTCGATTTTCTTATCTTTTATCCTTATGGTTGTCTTTTAATCAAACAAATAAATTTGTGGAAGGATAAGTAGTCCTGGAAATTATTCAAATCCAATTTGAAGAGTCAAACTTATATATGGCTTTAGAGTATTAATATGGCTAAGAATGCTTAGCCAATGAAAAAAAAAAGTCATGCTGAAAAACAATGTATTAGTTACCACACGGGACATTTGTATTTTGGATTTGTTTTGACGGACGCTCCACTTTTATTTTATTTTCTTGATTTTTCTCTATGAAATTTGTTTTGGCTAGTTCTAATTTTGAGATGTGAAATTTTCAGATGCATCATGCCATTATCATGTCTTGCGTACTCCTGTTATGTTCCCTACGCCCACAACAACTCCTTCGTTATTTTGTTCTGTATTTATTTATTATTTTGCAGAATCTGGTCGAGGACAGTATCTGGCCAATGCTGGCTCAAGAAAGTTTAAAGGCTTTAGGTGGATTGGGCTTGCTTTCTCTGGCGGGAAAATACATTCTGAGACGAGTTTTTGAGGTGTTCACATTTTATCTATTAAAATTATTTTAGAATAGCTTCAGAGTCATAGATGCATGCCCATAATGTTGTTGCGGGCACTAAATCAAGTTACTCAGGTTGTTGCCGAAGCAAGGAGCTCGGAGGCCTTTGTTGCTCTCTGTCTGCTAACAGTTACTGGGACTTCGCTTATCACGCAGAAGTTGGGCTTCAGTGATACGGTTTGAATGAACACCTCTTCCATTGATAAATTGATTATTTTTCAATTCTGCAATTACTGAACTGATTTCATCATGCAGCTTGGAGCATTTTTAGCTGGGGCATTGTTAGCAGAAACAAATTTCCGAACACAGATTGAAGCGGATATAAGGCCATTTAGAGGCTTACTTCTTGGGTTATTTTTTGTGACTACAGGGACTTCCATTGATATGGAGGTACATTTTGCTCTTTGGGCATGACATTCTAATGTCTCATTGATAAAACAGCATTTTGCTAATAATTCTAGATTGTATTTCCTTTATGACAATTTTTTTTTTTAATCCCTATACAGCTCCTTATCCGAGAGTGGCCAAATGTACTTTCACTCTTGGCAGGTTTAATCATCATCAAGACAATGATTATAAGTGCCATAGGTCCCCGTGTTGGACTTACCCTGCAAGAAAGTGTTAGAATAGGATTTCTACTATCTCAAGGAGGCGAGTTTGCATTTGTTGTTTTTTCTCTAGCAAACAGGTAGGAAGCAGGCTTTGATAGTGTTGCAGCCATGTTGTAATTTAACATTCTACATTAGTTTCTGCTCACATGATATTTTGTTTTTATCTACTTGGAAGCAGTCTTGGTGTGCTGCCACTTGAGCTTAACAAACTGCTCATAATTGTGGTTGTTTTGTCAATGGCATTAACCCCATTGCTTAATGAAGTTGGAAGAAGAGCTGCTGATTTCATTGAAGAAAAATTTGACACAGAAGATGTATGTTTCTACTTTGCTTTCTGTAGTTTGGGTTTAAATATACTTGGCACCTAACATGGTTGTACCAAGTTCTTAGGCAATGAAATTTTTGGGCACACATGAGACAGTATTGTATTATATGATTTTTGTATCTCAGAAAATGTATAAATGGTGTGAAAGAGAAGGTTAATGTGTCATAATGTATACCATCAGAGTTGCTTGTAACAGTCTTTTTTTTTTTTTTTTTAAATAAATTTATAATGTTTATTTCTGATACTTCCACTTCCTATGCCTCAAATCTTGGTTTTCTAGGAAGCTGCTGAGATGGTGAACTTTGAAGCTAGTGAACCTGTTGTAATTATTGGATTTCGACAAATGGGTCAGGTATGTTATCTTTTTTGAACACGAATATCAATTTGATAGATCATAGGTTCTCACGTTTTCATTTTTCTACGTGTAGGTCTTAGCCAATTTCTTGACTGCTCCATTAGTTGCTGGAGTAGATGGAGAAGTGGTTGGATGGCCTTATGTTGCTTTTGATTTGAACCCTTCTGTGGTGAAGGTCACTTCTAAACTTAATTTACGTTCTTCGAGATTATTCAATTACTTTTATCATCAAAAATTAGTTTCATTCAATTTCAAGAGCAACTTGAATATGTTGGCATTATATTGATGTAAATCTGACAATCAAGTAATGAAAAATGTGATTAAATTATGTTGCTTTCATATTTCATAACCCTCACGAATCTCTCAATATATGATATATTTGTCTGGCATGTTATTCAACCTCTATTTGATTGTAATTACCAATATAAAAAATGTCACCAAAATCTTCAGTTATGGAAAAAGCACATGCTAAACCTTTTCCTAAAGGCTTCAAGGCACCAATTGTCTATGATGAGGAAACACCTCCGACATCATGACTGTTCAGTGCCTTGCATCTGAGGTGGGGAAGCTAGTGAAGAAAAATCATGTGTACATTTTGGTAGCCTGCATGACTCTAGAAAGGTGAATGTTGTAACTAATATGTTACACATGCATTGCTCTCTACACCATGTTCTGATATTGAATCTTCTTAAGTTTTGGAATTCATTTTTCCCAAGGGGATTTAGTTATGATGAATAAATTAACTTACATTACATTCACAGGCATCTCGGAAACTTGGTTTTCCTATCCTGTATGGGGATGGATCACGTCCGGCAGTATTACAAACTGCTGGTATATCTTCTCCGAAGGCTTTTATGATCATGTATACTGGGAGGAAGAGGACGACTGAGGCTGTTCAAAGGCTTCGACTTGCTTTCCCTGCAGTAACTTTCTGTCTCTCTCGCTCTATTTGCAGTTGCACTTATCTGTATGACAAACACAACAAAAAATAATTAGCACATCTGCATAGAATGCTGCAAGAAGTAAGGAATAATAAATTTGGGCTAGTGAAAGTAGAACAATTCTTCCTTTTATAATTGTTAGTGTTGGAGTATGTGGGTAATCCCACATCGGATGAATACAACTAAATAAAATGGTCATATAATGTGAAGGGTGAACCAACCAAAAAGGTTTAGGCCATTTTGTGTTAAAGATAAGCCTAACTCGTTATAAGCTCAATATTAGATATATAATTGAATTTGATTTGATTAATTTGCTCCTAGGGCCCACATTCTCAACAGTTAGAAGTAGCAAAATTTATTAGAAGAAGTATATAAAGCCTTGACGAAGCTGCCCACTGCTTTTTCCTTTTCTAATTTCTTTCTTCTTCTCCTCGGTGCTATTCTACTTCACAGATCCCAATTTATGCTAGAGCTCAAGATCTGAAGCATCTTTTAGATCTGAAGAAAGCAGGAGCAACAGATGCTATTCTAGAAAGCACAGAGGTACAATAAATTCTGTCCTTTAACTTGGCTTAGTTTTGTTACTTGGGAGATCTCCATTAACTTGATTGCTCAACCTGATTGAGTTTTTCTCTTCATTTATGCAGACAAGTTTACAGCTTGGCTCTAAGCTTTTGAAAAATCTTGGAGTGATGTCTGATGATGTAGACCTTTTCGGTCAGCTTATCCGAGACTCCATGGAGTCACAAGCTCAAGAAGCTCTAAGAAAAAATGATGATCGAGAATTCGATATTATGAAACCATTGCAGGTATAGAATTCTAAGTGTGTTCGGCATTGTTATTGTGCATAGCTGTAAATATATGCTAAAACTAAAAAAATTTTATGCTGAGAGGATGTTTTAGCAACATGATCAATCTAGCTATTTGCAAAAACTTCAGATATGAGCTTCTTCAAAATCAACCTTTGCCCATAAATGCAAATTGCAAAAATCCATTGTCTACTATAACAAAAAAAAAAAAAAAAAAAAAAAAAGTTTTATGCTGAGAGGATGTTTAGCAACAATGATCCAATCTAGGCTATCTTGCAAAAAACTTCAGATATGAGCTTTCTTCAAATCAAAACCTTTGCCCATGAAATGCCAAATTGCAAAAATCCATTGTCTACTTAACAAAAAAAAAAAAAAAAAAAAAAAAAAAAAAAAAAAAGGATTTTTCCAAATTCTGGCCCAATAATGTCAAACCTGACTGAAACATTCTAACTTAGCAACTTAAATCGTGTTTCTGTGTAGCCTGATCTTCAGTTAATCATTTAACTTAAACTATTTGTTAATTTTGGATCAGTTACTGAATCGATTATTAAATTTTCTTATTTAAGGTGAGAGTTGATGACTCACTTGTGGCCCAAGAACCCATTCTACCAACATCATCTGAAGACAAATTATCAAGAAGAAAGCAGATGGATGGAAGTCATGTTTCACAGTCTCAAGAGGAAGCTAACACTGCAATCCATAATAGTGAGCTCAAACGGATATGCAGGCAAAAGGGTGTCTTGTATTGTTGAACTAAATGCAGGGGGGGGGACAATGGTTTTTTGGCCAAAACTGATGATTGTGCAGTGGAGGTAAAAAATATGATATTTGCAAGCTGCTGAGGAGCCTTGAGAGTACCAGAGTTCAGTTTCTCGCACGAATAACGAATATTTGTTCTGTAGATTTGATGAAGCTGATTCAAGGATTTAGAAACTGGTTAATTTTCTTGCTTGTGCTAACATTAGGGGAAAACAAGAAGCTAAAGCTTTGTGAAAAAGTTAGATGGATTAGTTCTTTTACTAGAACTGTAATGCTTTATACAATTTTTCAATTTTTCAAAAACCACACCATGTATATTGTTGATATTATTGGCAATGAAAGCGGCACCTTTTTTTTTTTTTGAAACAAATTACTCTGTCTCAACATTGTTCTTCATTCTTGTAGAATTTCTATCATTTCCATACTCCATAATTTATTCTTTTCTTTTCTGCCTGTTCCCCTGGCTCCTCATGCACCTCACTCACACTTACTGAGGTAAACTGGTATTCTGCTTTATCCCCTCAGTGTTTGCAGAACAATAGTTTCTAATGATATTAATTTTTTTCTTATAATTATTTAATTTCCTAAAATTCTTTGGTTTGAAAATGTATTGCCATTCTTATAATTATTTAATTTCCTAAAATTCTTTGGTTTGAAAATGTATTGCCAAAAAAAAAAAAAAAACAAAAAAGAATTACATTGCAAAACAGAGGTTTTTTAGACTAAAAATCACATAAAATTACATGTGGGATCCACATGCCAAAGTTTTCATCCTCAAAGACCTTAATTATTGCAAATGAAGACTTTGATGTCGAATCATGAGTTAAAAGTCTGCTAACACCTGCCAAAGTTCATCAAACCAGAAAAATTTTGTATCTTTCTTCTTCACAAATACAATTCACATAACAGCAAGAAATGGAAGAGATAGTGCTATCTCCACTTCTACAGGTGATCTTTGACAGAGTAGCATCTCCGGTGCTGCAGAAACTTGCTGATATGTGGGATCTCAAGGACAACCTCAAAAGGCTACAACAATCCTTGTTAATGGTTCAAGCTATTCTTGAAGATGCAGAAGAGCAACAAGTAACCAGAAAAGCTGTTAGGGTTTGGTTGTCAAGGGTCAAGAGTGCAGCTTCTGATGCCGAGGATCTACTGAATGATTTTACTGCTAGAGCTTCTCTTGGTGTTCCTGGAGTGCCTGGTTGCATATCCACATCAGTAAATTCAAGCAAGGTCAGAAAAGCAATTCATGTTTTTGAAATGATTGCCATGGAGGGACTTAACTTTTATTTGAAAGAAGGGCTTAATCTAAATTCGAGAGAGGATAGTGCTAATGATAGGAAATATGGTAGAAGAGAAACTAGCTCATTCGTTGTTGAATCAGAAGGTCATGGAAGGGAAGAAGATAAAGAAAAGATCGTTCAATTGTTATTATCTCGTGTAGCCAACCTAGAAGGATACCCAGCTGTTATACCAATAATCGGTATTGGAGGCATAGGCAAGACAACCCTTGCTCAATTGGCATATAATGATGAGATAGCAACACAACATTTTGATGTTAAAACTTGGGTTTTTGTTTCTGAAAATTTTGATGTGAAGAGGATAATGAAAGCAATTATCGAATCTGCTACGAAGGAAAGGTGCAAATTCATAGAGATGGATGTAATTCAGTCTAAGCTATTGGATTTGTTGCATAAGAAAAGATGTCTGATTGTGTTAGATGATGTTTGGACTGAAGATCTGGATGACTGGGAAAAACTAAGGCCTTTGTTTAGAGGGGGTGATGTTGGAAGCAAAATCATAATCACTACTCGGAGTATAAAGGTAGGAATGATAATGGACTCCCCAACTTTTCCTTACTATTTGGAGGTTTTGGATGAGGAAGATTCTTGGACTTTATTCAGGCAACGAGCATTTCGAGTAGGAGAAGAGGAAAATTATCCAAATCTTTTGCCTATTGGAAAGCAAATTGTCAAAAAATGTGGAGGTTTGCCATTAGCTGCAAAAACTTTGGGAAGCTTAATGCGGTTCAAAAGAGATGAAAGAGAGTGGCTGTTAGTGGCAAGTAGTGAACTTTGGAGTTCAAATGTAGATCATGGTGGAATTTTACCTTCCTTGATGTTAAGCTATCGCCATCTACCATCACATCTCAAACGTTGCTTTGCTTTTTGCTCTATTTTTCCTAAGAACTATGAAATCAAGAAGGAGAAGTTAATCCATCTATGGATTGCAGAAGGATTCATTTTGCAGGAAGGAGATGAACCAGCAGAAGATATTGGAAATCACTACTTCAATGACTTGGTGTGGATTTGTTTCTTTCAGAAGGCAGAGAAATGTGACAATAGATACAAGATGCATGATATAATTCATGATTTGGCACGGTATGTTGCAGGGAAAGAATTTTTGATACTTGAGAAATGTCCTGCATCAAACAATCTGGCCCAAGTGCGTCATTCGTCCATTGTATCTAAATTCGGATCATTTTCAATTCCAGAAGCCTTATATGAAGCAGAACATCTGAGAACACTCATGTTAAGAGTGGGAGGAGACTCGCAGGAAGTTCCAAAAAAATTGTTCTTACATTTCAGATACTTGCTTGTGCTAGATTTGAACAGCAGTGGCCTTACAAAATTGGATGAGTCTATAGGTGGCTTGTTTTGTTTGAAGTATCTTGACCTGTCTTACACATTTATCAGAATTTTGCCACAAACTATAAGGTACCTGTATTCTTTGCAATCTCTTAACCTACATGGTTGCTGTTATCTTGAACAATAAGGTTACCAAGTGCTAATCTAAGACATCTAATCATTACTGAATGTCAAGCTTTAGCATTAATGCCAGATATTCTCCCACAAGGGCTTCGAACATTACCGATACATATTTTGAGGAAAAGTTCTGGCATACTTTGCTTGAAAGATTTAGATCTTCATGGAGAGCTGAAAATTAAGCACTTGCAGAATGTTAAAACAAGAGCTGATGCAGAATCAGCTAACATGAGATTAAAGGAAAACCTAAAGTCATTGGGACTATATTGGTGTGAGAATGATGGTCAACTATACGATAGAATTGATGCAGTGGAAGACATTCTTGAAGCACTACAACCTCACCATAATCTGGAAGAACTACATATAGAAGGATATCCAGGAATCAAATTTCCAAATTGGTTGCTTCCAAATCTAATTATGGTTAATTTGAGTAATTGTAAAAAATGTGAATGCCTTCCTACACTTGGGAATCTTTCATTTCTCAAGATGGTCTCTTTCTGTGGAATGGATGGTGTGAAAGGCATTGGTTTGGAGTTCTATGGTAATGGGTGGTGTGAAGGCATGGTGTTGGATTCTATGGTGAAGGCATGCATACACATTTCCATGAGCTTGAAGGAATTGACCTTAAAGGGTTCCAGAGCTTGAAGAATTGACCATTAAAGGATTTCCAAATTTGGAAGAGTGGTCAATTGTAAATGATGGACAGACATTCCCTAAATTAAGAAAATTGATTGTCAATAACTGCCCCAGATTAGCTAAGATGCCATCGTTTCGATCTCTTCAACATTTGGAGCTGCGAGACTGCAGCCAAACAATATTTTCCAATGAAAATCTACCTTCCTTGTCAATCCTTGCTATAGAAAAAATTCCAGAACTTTGCTCTCTTCCTAGAAGTTTTCTTGTTGAGAATACCCTTTTGACATCTCTGGAGATTATATCTTGTACCAAACTTCATTCACTACCATCTGAGTTGGGAAGTCTAATTTCTTTAAAAACATTGACCATTCGCTGGTGCGAAGAGCTGACATCTTTGCCACAAAGTTTGAAGAACCTGAAAGCTTTAGAGTGCTTGGAGATTTGTGAATGTCATAATATAATTTCTTTGCCAGACAATGGACTTGGAGGTTTAACTTCACTTCATATTTTGTCCATCGAAAACTGCAGTAAGTTGATTTCTCTTTCCTCAAGCTTGGAGCATTTAACATCTCTTGAACAGTTAACCATTATGTATTGTCCAAGTCTTGGTTCTTTACCAGAAGGTCTGCAGCACCTCTCTGCTCTTCGAAGTTTGACTATGTTAAGTTGTCCTTTGTTTTCAACTCTACCGGAGGAGCTTCAATATGTCACCACATTACTTTGCTTGGAAATTCATAGCTGTCCAGGTTTGACAGCTTTACCGGAGTGGTTTAGGAACCTCACTTCACTCAGATCTTTGACAATTTCAGACTGTCATAATTTGAAGTGTTTGCCAGAAAGTTTTAGATCTTTGACAATTTCAGACTGTCATAATTTGAAGTGTTTGCCAGAAAGTTTTGGCTTCAGTGCTCTCCAGTATCTTTGTATCCAAGATTGTCCTCGTCTCGAAGAACGAAGCAAGGAAGGAATCGGAGAGGATTGGCCTAAAATAGCACACGTTCCACATAAACACATTGGATCACCTAGGTTCAGGAAGAGAAAATCCATTGCAGAAAGCAGCTCTTCTGCTTGAACTATATGTATAGCTCTTTTCAGGCCTCATTTTTGCAGGTAAGCTACTTTCACTTTGTGCTTTGGTTCTGCATTACCTGATCTTTTGTTAGAGATATAAACAATTCTTAAACTCTCACCTGGAAGCTTGACAATAGTATCAGATACTCTCCAACATTTCTTAATATACTTGATAACTATGAAACTCATTTCTTGCAGGCTGAAGAGGAAACTAGTCAGGAAGTGCGCGATAACGAAGCTTCAACAGTCAGAAGATATGCAGGCTAATGGTTTTTTGTGCTGTGAACTAGGTACAGAGAATGGTTTTTTTTTGGCTAAAATTAGTTGTCAATACTGCAGTTATCTGAAGTATAAGATACGTATCTTTTAGCTTTGACAACAAAACTTTCACATCACAGCTTTATCCAGTACTTGTTTATCTTCTGTATCTTAATACAATTGTGTATAAGTTTGTGATGGAATCCATATTTTGTATCTAATTGTAATTTACAAGATCTGGCCATTTTTCAGACACTAAAAGTATATTTTTACTTAGAATCTAATCAGGATTAGGAGATCTCACTCCTAATCTTCTGCCGAGACTGCTATATAGGGTCTTAACGTCTCTTTAAAGAAAGAATTTTCAAGTTATCCATTTTAAATTAAAACTTTTCACTCCTCGCACTCTTACAGAATATGAGAAGACTAACTAGATCAAAGTTAATTGAAATTTTTGAGCTTTTTTGCTGTATAGTGTGAATAATTTCATGCAATCAACATGTTAGAACTCATTTTTGGCGTTGTCATTGGAAATTGCAGAGTTTGAAATCTAAAAGGAATTATTATTAATCCATTTGATACAATTTTTCATATTTTATTGACCTGGAAAATTAATTAAAAAACCCAATATTTAAATTTTTTTTAAGTCAGTTTTTACATTTATAAGAATTTATAATCCGATAATCTTTTTTTTTTTTTATAAGAATTTATAAAATTAATTATAAAACCCAATCCGATACAATAGAATTTTTATAAGAATTTATAAAAAAAAAACTTTTGACCCAAAATCAGTTATGGTAGTTGCGATATCAAATTAACCATTAAACCCTCACTCATGGTTATTTTTATTTTTTGATTTCTATTGTCCTATAATAAAATTTATATATCAAATAATGGGTCAATGCAATAAATAAAAATTATTTTTTTATAGTTTTATTTTGTTATGATTTCTATATATATTTGTTGAGAAGAAGAATTTTTTTTTTTTTTTTTTTTAACTTATAATTGTTGAAGAGAATTTTTTTTAATTTTTTTTTTTTTTTTTTTAACTTCGAAATTAAATAGCTCATCAGGCTAGCACACGCCTGAGGAGCTACATAAAACCACCTGAAATTAGAGAGAGAAAATTTCCCCTCATTCCTATCGATTTCATCGCCCCTATTGGACCAATGAGTCAGGATCTGAATACTCATAGTGGCTGGATCTGAATACTCATAGTAGCTGTTGATTTCATTGACAAGTGCGACAAACTATCGATTGGAGGACAGAGGCTTCATTTCTATTCTGCTATCTCCATTGCTTCCTCCACTCGTGGTGGCTGCTGTTGCAGCCAGGTTGAGCTATTCCATCTACAGTCATCAGCAGGCCAATCTGAAATCGGAGCTTGGAACCCGAGCGCCAACAGAAGCAGGGGACGCGTGTGAACATTGACGCTCCCTTGCAAATCTGTAAAAGTCTCTTATTTTCAGCAATTTGACTTCCGATTTAAACTTGGGTAAGTCTCTCTTCAATGATTTCGGCATTTTATGCTAGAATTTTTTTTTTTTTTTTTTTTTTTTTTTTTTTTTTTTTTTTTTTTTTTTGAGGAATTGAGCTATATAATCATTTTTTTTTTTTTTTTTTTTTTTTTTTTTTTTTTTTGAGGAATTGAGCTAGTATAATCATTTGGAATTAATTTGACTCTTTCAAAGTATTTGCATCTCTCTTTTAGTAAAGAAAGATTAAAGAATTCATTGAACTTTGCTGTCAAAATGACTGATATACTGATAGTTCAGTTTCTTCTATTAAGTATAAAGGGGGAAAGAAAAGCTTAGTGAGTTATATTCATGAATTAACTAGCTAAGTAGCAAATTGTCTATTGTCACGGTGAGTTTAATTTACTTAGTGAAATTGTCATGATAATGTGCAAGAAACTATATGCTTATGTAATTAAAATGCTATAATACACAGGTTTGAGTTGAATAATGGTTATAAGATTGCTATCTCTAGCAAAATGAAAGAAAAATAAAAAATGAGAATGAAAAAAGGTTTAGAACTTGAGATTTTTAGAATTTTAGACTTTTAGTTACGTACATAATCCTTACTGAGATCTTTTGCATGCCAAAATAAGCAAGCTTTACGGGTACATATAAATATATAAGAATGCTCCTCAATGGTTAGAATATAGTTTATTTTCTGAGTTCTGACAAATATTGTGGTCACTTATGAGTTACGACTTCTTAGTTTTCATGGTCTATCACTTACTTTCTAAATGATTATAGATTCAAGTTATCCGGTAGATTTGTTGTTGCTCAAGGCCTGAGTTGAACGTTATTATTCCAAGCCAATCTGCTTAGCTTTGTATCAATCACGCCCCGTAACTAGCACTTAGCAATTTTGGTAATGTGGGTCCGACAAAAAGCATGGTTAAACTTGGATATGAGAAATGTTTAATTTAGCACATTAGTTTATAAATAATCTGTCTGTGGAAAGATATTATCATATTAATACTTTAATACAATCAACTTGTGATTGTTAAATGGAGACCTTTATATGTGAGAGTTGTTGGCTAGAATTCTAAAGAAATTATGAAGTAATTGTTTGTTCAGGGAATGGAACAAGTAGAATCATCCGAGTGAAATTATAAAGGGTAAGTTATGATTTTTGCAGCAGCGCATTCAAGTTTTGGGTTCGCCCGAATATGGCCAACAAACAGGTACCGGCCTCACTCAAGTGAGGTGGTCATGTTGAACCAAGTTCCAAATCAAAGTGCATCTGACTTTACATCAATAACCCGACAACATGGGAAAAAGTAAGATGCTCTTTCTCTGTAACTCATTTTCACAAACATGTCTCTTGCAACCCAGCCAAATATTTTGAGCTTTGTACTTTTGCAGGTGTGAGCTTTTTGATTTGTGTAAAACGCTAGTGCCATATGGAGATGCTTGGAATTGGCAAAAAGACATTGTTAAGGAGAAAAAAGCAATGATTGAAAGGAATGAAGAATTCCCAGATACACTGATAGTTTTACAGCATCGTCCTGTGTATACCTTGGGTACAGGTAGTTCTGTAGGGTACCTGAATTTTGATGTAAAGGATGCGCCTTTTGAGGTTTATCGAACTGAACGAGGAGGAGAAGTTACTTATCATGGGCCGGGCCAGGTATTTTGTTATATGGTTCCATTGATTGTGCTATACCATAGATTGAATTGTTCATTATTCTGATGCTGCAAGCTCTTAGAAAATATATTTCCTGTAATAGTTTTCCTGTTGCAATATATTGGACCTTTAACGACCATGTACCTCTAGTTGGTTATACATGAAATCAACAGATTGCATATTAATATTGCATCTCTGTAGTACTTTTGCCTAACTAGAAATGCATGTATGTTAAAATGTAGCTAGTTATGTACCCAATTATCAATCTCCGAAATCACGAGATGGATCTCCATTGGTACCTCAGGGCGCTTGAGGAGGTGGTTATTCGTGTTCTTGCCTCAACTTTCTCCATTGAGGCCTCCCGCGTTGAGGGTTTAACTGGAGTCTGGGTTGGTATGTGCTCCTAATCCTTAACTTTTGATTCTTTTGTGTTACTTAATCCCCTTACTCTAGCATGAACTCTAAACAATATTTGTATAATTCTGTTAAACATTCTGCTTCAGGAGATGAGAAAGTGGCTGCAATTGGGATTAAAGTATCTCAGTGGATAACATATCATGGTTTGGCACTGAATGTCACTACAGATTTGACACCCTTTAATTGGATTGTCCCTTGTGGGATCAGGAACCGAAAGGTCGGAAGCATCAAGGGATTGTTGCTACAACAAATAGATTCATGTTTATATGAAAATGGAGATGATCCAGAATTTGTTGATTCCCATTTGATTGATACTACTTACAAATCATTGGTCAGGGAATTTTCTGATATTTTCCAGCTTAATATCTATCATAAAACTGTGTCCAGCTTGGAATTTTTGAAGAAGAAACCATTAAAAAAGCTCACTGATGAGTGAGTATTTAACTGGAGGCTCATCCGAAACCTTGATACTCAAGGAATCATCTGGCCGGCCTGTGGGAATATGTTCACTAATGACCAGAAGCAAACCATACCTAATTTTGAAGTGGTTTCTCCAAATTCTGGTAAGCACCAAGTACACAGTAGAGAATGGAATTCCGCTATTCTTAGCTTTCAAAGCCACTGAACAATTTATTAGTAGAAATTTAACCATGTGACAGAAATGGTCAAATGAACTGTGGCACATAAGGGCATTTATTAGAGCCTCATAAACTATTGGTATTACTGAAAAAAAAAAAAAAAAATAGAAGGATTATAGGGAAACAATTTCTTATAGTTCCCTGTAGTTCGAAAAGAAATATCATATGTAGATTCTACAAGCACTATAGCATCAGGATTTGAAATCATGATCTCATTCAATTATTTATTTATAGTACAATATCTAACCTCCTTGAATGTTACTACATAATTTTACAACAATAATAGAAGAAAGTAGAGCTCAAACTATATGGTAAATGTAAAAATACCCACATGGTAAAATTTAAGAAGTGCGTTCCAACTTCTCATATGTTCACCTTTCATATGTTCACAGGGTAAGTGGCTCGAGATAGAGTGAGATGACTTTGTCTTTGAGACTTGATGGGTTAGTATATGCATCATCAAACTTATAAACAAGCTCTGAAACGCGACCAAGGTTGAGCAGACATTCTAGGATAGGCCTTGAAACAGAAGTTGGTCTCATGCATTCTTCATTAATATCTTTCCATGCATCTCCACATATTTTCAAGATTTCTTCAACTGCTTTTTCTTCAGTAACACCATATTCTTTTGTGTAACACTCTACACTTGAAGCACAGTCTCCCCTCTTTTGCTCATCCTTCAAATGATAAACACACAAGCAATTAGAGATTATGTAAATATATCCCCTCTTTTGCTCATCCTTCAAATGATAAACACACAAGCAATTAGAGATTATGTAAATATACAAACCTATTTGGAGCAGGGGCAAAGCCAACAATTTAAATTGAAAGTAAAACTTTACGCAAAAACTTAAAGAGGGCAAGCGATTGAAGTTATTAGGAAACCAAAAACAGAAGTATTCTATTCGAAATTCTTCTATTTTTAGTGTTTGGCAACAATTTCTTTAAGGCTATTTTTTTTTTATTGTTTGCTAACATAATATTTGAATTAACTTTTATAAAAAGTTAGTCCTGTATCATTTAATTTTTAATTTTTTTATGAGAAATAACTAATTTTGCTGAATAAATTTTATGTCATTCAACAAAATGTATAGTATGAGAATATACCTTATGGGATACTATATCGTTCAACAAACGACCAATTATTTTGCTAGCATTAGCAATTTTTGGGTTGGCTTTTAGCCATTCATATTCCTTAAACCCTGCGAACTTTTCCATTCCAATGAAACTTACAGCTGCAATTACTCCGTAGCTGCTTGAGGTTGCACCATTGGGTAAATACTCACCAAACGTTGGCACATAACCATCATTAAACCATTGTGCCTCCATACGGTAGGCTCTCAACAATTCTTTAAACTAATTAAAATAATTATATCAGCCATAATTAATTGTGGAAAGAGTAAGAAATTAATTAATTAATTAAATCAAAGCCTAAACAAATCTTACTTACAAATCTTACTTCCTCCCTTGTATAGTAGGCACAATAGGACCTTCCTTCCTTGCTCCCAATGTTACTTGTTTCCTCAAAAAGATCCAAAAAGGCCTTATATAAATCTTTCATGTAATCTGGCAGTTGATCAACTGCACCAATATTCCACCTGAATATTAAAAAAAAATGATTTATAAAATATTGTTTTATTTAATTTGATAATATTATATAATTTTATATCTAGTAACTCTACTTGTTTTGACATAAATAATTATGTGAAAGACAGTAATTAGAAGGGATTGTAAACCTCTCAAATGCATCTGTAAAAGCATTGATTTCTTCCATTGAAGCATATGCATCGTATGTGTCATCTGACAGTGTCATCTGACAATGATATCATTGATAAATATTTGGTCACCATCAACCTTAGAAGAGCAAAATGAGGCTCGAATTGGATTGAACATGCCCAGAAATAGAGCTCTACAATTCTGTCTCTTGCATAGGGAAATTTTCCTGGAAGATTGGAGTCTTTCCACCACCTAAACATAATGCAAACAAGCCAATCATATACAAAGACAATTTCAGGATTTAAATATAAAGGGATAAAATTTTGGATGTATAAATCAAGTGGTTAAAGCAGTGAAATTCTTGTAAGGTAAAATTACTTGTTTTAATAGGTATCGATTGTCCAAGTAGTTATTTTATTAGTTTTTCATTAAATGTTGGAGGGATTAATATTTCATAATCCACTTCTTCACACTCTATAAAATAGTACAAACGTTTCTTCACCTGCTACTTCAAATAAAAAGAATAATATGTTAACTAAGTTCAAAATATTATGTACTACGTTAAAAGCTGTTACTGAATAGAGCCTTAACAAAATGTAAAATAGATGTAGTCAAATTAATTTATCATATTATATTACGGACAAAGTTTACCTTACTAGTTCACCAAGCTCTTGCTTGTGTAGTAATTGTACTCGATTGAAATCTAATTTTGCAAACTCAAGTAGGGTTTCATTTCGAGACTCATCTTCTTCGTAAAAAGAGATGTATTGCCTGGCCTCAACTCTTGGTACTCCTTTGTGAAAGGGAAAGATGAGAGCATTTCTTATATTTTGTGCAAGATGGTGAGGAATTGATTGCATTATGTTGTGCAAGATGGTGAGGAATTGATTGCATAGCTAGTAATGACTCCAAGATTGGCTTTGTAAAAGCAAGAGCTTCATCTAGAATATCTTCTCCATGCACACTCACAAAACTTGCTTCATATAAGCTAAGAATGCCCTTCACATCATTAATTATAGCTTTCTTGAATTTTCCATCCTTGTCTTTGAATTTATTGAACACATCTAATTCAATTGAAGTAATAATCCATCAATTCCGTTTAGAAATAGACTAAATTTACTTTAGCATAATAATTAATCCATCAATTCCGTTTAGAAATAGACTAAATTTACTTTAGCATAATAATTACTATCATAAGCAGACACTTACCGCATGACATTTTGTATCCATGTTGTCTTAAAACTCGAAAAAGAAGTGCTATATTATAGAGATCACAGTCATTATCATCAAGAAAATTGGAAACAACATTAAAAGCATGACTTAACTACTCTTCGATCTTCATCTCAAAATGATACGATACACCAAGACGACATAACGTACTGATAACTTCAATATTTTGGATTAGATTCTTCATAGAATCCATTAATATGCATCTTACCTTTTCTTTAAGCGACTCTACCTTTTTAGTGTACAATTCATATTCCTGTGCAAGAAAAGTGTTCAATTTAAGATGTTGAATGTAACATATTGAGCAAAATATAAGCAAATAATTAAAATTTTTTATGCTATTTGGCAAGAAATAATTCTTTTTTTCTCGTATCAACACAAATCAAATAGTGAAATTTGTATACATGGCCTAAAGTTAAAATTAAAAATATAATGAAACATTAACTTCTAAAAAATATTTGAATTTTTTTTGGCTATTATGACATTTAAAACCATAACAGGAAATAATAAACAGTAAAAGAAAATTAAGAATCTCATCAAAGCTAAAGAGAGAGTTACCGAATTTGGGAAGGAGAAGGAAGCAAAGCTATTATATCCCCACAAGGTAGGAGGGAAATTAGGCACACAACGACACACATTTTGCTCAGCTTTTGGTTGTAAATATGGGTTTGCATTTCCTTTTTTTTTTTTTTCTTTTTTTTGAAGAGGAAGATAAATGTACTACAAGTGTTTCTAATTCATCTATGGTTAGAAATCAATCTAGCTAATTTATAGAAACCATTGCCCACCACTGTTGACAAAATGATATCATTAATTTGTACTTATTAGATTTGGTATGGGAATTAATTATTTGTTTGATGCTTTGTTTGAATGGATCTAAAATAGAGACCGAAAATGTCTGAAATTTTCAAATTACCTTGTTTTTTTTAGGTAAAAATATTAAGTATAGTGTAAAATAAATTTATTTTATATCTTACAATTTTCCTCTCAAAATAGAGTGAGGATAGTAAATAATGGGTGAAAAGTTACTATTCATACTTGATAAAGAAAATTAGAATACTTTACACCTTTATTTTACATCGATTGAAACAAAGAGTGTAAAATAATTAAAAAGATAAAATGAATAGTATCATTTTACCTCCTTATTTTTTAAGTCCTCATTTATTTTAACTCTTCCCTCTTCAAAAATACAACATAAGGTTGAATAAGAAATTATAATTGAATTAAAAAATAATGGGTTGGATCAGTAAAAGAATATTTAAGTATAATATTAAATAGCAAATCATTTAATGGTTTGGTTGGTCTTCAATAATGTGAGGAGTAGGAGGTCTCGAGTTCAAATTTTCTCTATTGCAGGAATTCGTGTTATTTCAGCTATTAAACCTCCTAATAAATAAATAAATAAATATATTATACTCCTAATTGATTAGGTAACAAGATGAGCTTTAAGAGAAATAAAATAAGAAATGATGTCTCTTTATTTTGTTTATATCTTGGTGGTTTATATCATTTTTTTTTTAAATTCGCACAAATGTCTTAACTTGCTCATCTAGGTATCAAAAACTTTCAAAGAATTGGATTTGTTGAATAAATTAGGCAGAGGTAATACAAGTGTTTCTGATTCATCCACGTACGGTTAGAAATCAATCTAGCTAATGTATAGAAACCTACGGGTTAGAAATCAATCTAGCTAATGTATCGAAACCGTTGCCCACACCATTGATTAGAAATCTTTTAACTCTAACCTCCAACTGAAATTCTTGGAACTTTGGTTTAGAATATATACTAAACACATATCACTATTGTTAATCTTTGCAACTTCACCATAATCAAGATTAAAGAAAGACTCTACAAATATTTAAGGATATATTAATTAACCCTAACTAGCTAGCAATTTAAATAGGAAAATACTTATCTAAGACAAAGTAAAATGTTCAGCACATTAAAACCAATTTACGTACATCCATCTACAATAAGCCAATACAACTCCCAATCACGCACTTAACATTAATTTGTTTTTTTGTTAAAAATATACATAATAATATAATGTATTAATAATAATAATAAATATAACATTAACTTATCTAAACAGAAAGAACTGTTTGCTCCAATTATTGCTATTTAATGTAACAAGTTTGTTATTTTTAATTAAAAAACGATTTATTAAATTAACTTTCTCCATCAAATATTAATTAATTGCTATAATTCAAAATTTTCAATAATTTATTACGAATAAAAATAATATAGTCAATTTACTCAATAATTTATTATAAATTATATAAATTAAATGATTTTCTTAAGAAACGACAAAAATATAA